TTTTTAAATATTTTTTAGGCAATCCAAAGGCATAGATTTTTTAAAAATATTTGAAAGGCAATCCAAAGACGTAGATTTAAAAAAAAAAAATATTTTTAAAGAAAATCCAAAGGCGCATATTAAACAAATATTTTTAAAATATATTTTAAAGGTTAAAAAAAAATTTTAAAAGCAAACTAAAGGCCTAGACTAAAAGTATTTTTAAAGACATTTCAAAGGCGTAGATTATAAAAAAATATTGTTAAAATTTATCAAAAAAAATGAAAAAAATATTTTTAAAATTCATTAAAAAAACTAAAGACAATCCAATTGTGTAGATTATTTTAAACATATTCTCAAAGGCAATCCCAATGCGATGATTTGTTTTAAAAAAACATTCAAAGGCATCGTTCTTTAAACATATTTTTTAAAGTAAATCCATGGATGCATAATGGAGTTCAATTAAAATATTTGTATAAGCAGTTCAGAGACATAGATTAAAAAAAAAACATTTTTAAATTCAACCCTCTCATAAAAATATATTCCATAATTTAATTTTTTATATACCAAAAAAAATTATAATAAAATATTTGTAAATTAATTTCTAAAAATATACAAATAGCACACACTTGCCACATTAACACACATTTCAAAGCCACATCAATTTCATTAATCATTAAAACTACCATAAATATATTTGGACCAATTACAGAAATTAAAATTCCTGAATATGTGTGTCTGTGTCGCCGCCATACTCTTGATGGTATTGGTAATTTCAATTAATATTAATTATACCACCCGCAATGTATTTTATTAATTAGACCATCCTGTGAACATGATGTTTTCATTTCTTCTCTACTATTACCAACAAATATCATAATGAAAATAATATAAAATATTTTTAGAATGTTTATTCTTCTTCAATTCATTTGTGGTTTGGTGAATGTGGTATTATAAATATATATATTATATGAAATATGTTTTAAGGATTCGTTATGTTTTCACAGTATTCAATTGTAAAATTCCCGTTGAAGAGATTAAAATCGTGTTGCCATGGATAAATTCATTGTGTTGTACGTATAAACAATATTAATTCCATTACATTAATTATACCAACCCATGGACGTCGTATTAATAATAATTATACGTCACAATGAATACAAGGTTTTGTTATCTGGATGCAACGTTTTTGAAAGGAGAATGGAGGGGAGAAGTAGTCACATTTTCATCTTTATCAAGGTTTTGTTATAATGTCATATTCTGTGTTTGACTCTAAAGTTTTCTATACTGGAGAATACACTAAAGGGCACTTTTATATATCATTTAAAACGATAGGATTTCTCTGTGCATTTAATATTTTCAATTTGTAATTTAATAAAAACTCAATATTGTGACCTTCCTATAAAATTTTATTATATTCGTTATGAAATAATTAAATTTCATAATTTTCACACTATTAGGAAATAAATTATGAATTCTATTAAATATTCCCTTGAAAGTAATTTTCTAATTTGCATATTTTAACAAAACCAAAGGAAAAAAAACTAGCAGACCTTTTTTCCTAACACAATTTTCTATGCAAATACCTTACGTGAGCAAATGAAAGTATTTTCATAAAATATTTTTTATTAAAAAAAAAAACATATTTTCACATACGTACATACATCAAATTCGGTGTGAAGCATATGTGCTAGGTTCATTTGCATACGTTACAGTGCCAAGGTGTGTGCGTGTGTGTGTTTGTGTGCGCGGGCATAGTTTTAGCTAAAAATTTTATATGCAAATATGTTAAGTTAAGAGAATGTGGAGCACTTGAATATATTTGAAATGAAATTTCGTTTATTTTAAAATAAAAATATATATATATATATATATATATATTATTTGCAGAATAAGAAATCTCATGAGATATACATGAGGGGAATTGGGGATATAAACTATATAATATTTAAAGTATTTCGACTGAAATTATATATATATTATTATATATATATATATTATATTATATATATATATTTTTATTTTCATCATCTATATGAAATTATTAATCTTGAACAGTTTTGACATATTTAAATCCAATTAAAATTTTTAAAATTAAATTAAGAAATAGTTTTTTTTATTGAAAATTAAAAAGAAATGCAATTGAATTCCATGAAGTGCGTGATAATACGTGGACATCACAATAATTCCGTTTGTGTATTTTATATATATATAAACAATTAAGGCCATCCTAATTTAAGTCGCAGTTTTAAAAAAAATATTATCAATGATGGATTAAAATTGTAATGGTTTTCTAAAGGTGTGGATTTTTTTAAACATTTTTAAAAGTAAGCTGAATGCTTCCATTTTTTACAAATATTTTAAATGGTTATTTGAAGGCGTGCATTTTTAACAGATTTTGATTTTTTAAATATTTTTACTGGTAATCTGAAGTCCCTGAATAAAAAATATATTTTTAATGATAATTTGAAGCCGTCTATTTTTTAGATTTTTTTAATAGCAATTTGAAGGCTTGGATTTTCTACAAATAAAATATATTTTAATTCCGAATTTAATGGCGTAGATTTTTTAATATTTTTATAGACTATTTAATTTAATATTCTTATTATGAAAATAATTTTAAGACAAAGGTAAATTTTTATAAAAATATTTTAAAGTCCATCCAAAGAAGTAAATTCTTAAAAAAATATTTATGAGAACAATCCAAAGCCGTAAATTTTTATAAAAATATTTTAAAGGCCAATACAAAGACGTAGATTTTTAAAAAATATTTTTAAAGCTAATCCAAAGCCGTAGATTTTTATAAAAATATTTTAAAGGCCAATCCTAAGACGTAGATTTTTATAAAAATATTTTTAAAGCTAATCCAAACGCATAGATTTGTATAAAAATATTTTTAAGGCCAATCCAAAAGTGTAGATTTTTATAAAAATATTTTTAAGGACAATCCTAAGGCGTAGAATTATATAACAATATTTTCAAGGGCAATCTAAAGGCATAGATTTTTGTAAAAAATAGTTTATCCAAATGCGTGAATTTAAAAGAAAAATATATTTTTGAGGCCAATCCTGAGTCGTAGATTTTTATAAACATATTTTTAAGGTCAATCCACAGCAGTAGTTTTTTATAAAAATACTTTTTTTAAATATTTTTAGGGTCAAACCAAAGGCGTATATTTGTATGAAAATATTTTTATGGCCAGTCCAAGGCGTAGATTTTTATAAAAAATGATTTTAAGTCAATCCAAAGGCTTATATTTTTAAGACCAATCCAAAGCAGCAGATTTTTATAAAAATATTTTAAAAGCCAATCTAAAGGCGAAAATTTTTATAAAAATATTTTTGATGCCAATTTAAATGCGAAAATTTGTACAAAAAATATTACTTAATGCCAGTCCAGATTTTTACAAAAATATTTTTTAAGCCTAATCGAAAGTCGTTGATTTTTATAGAAATATTTTTAAGGTCAATCCAAAAGCGGAAATTCCTAAAAAATATTTTTTTAAGCTCAATCCAAAAATATTTGTAAGGCCAGTTTAAAGGCGTAGATTTTTATAAAAATATTTTTAATGCCAAAGCAAAGGCGTATATTTAGCCGTAGATTTTTATGATCATGTTTTTAGGGCCAATCCGAAGCCCTATTTATAATAATATTGTCTAGGCTACTCCAAAGACGTAGATTATTTATAAAAATATTTTTAAGGCCGATCCATTCCAATGGTTTGGATTTTTATACAAATGTTTATAAGATCAATCAGACATACGCTAAAATTTTTAATAAAATGTTTGTAAGCCAATTCAAAAACGCAGAGTTTTATAAAAATATTTTTAAGGTTAATCCAAAGGCACAGATTTTTATAAAAATGTTTTTAAAGTCAATCAAATGGCGCAGATATTATAACAACATTTGAAGGCCATTCCTAGGGCTTAAATTTTTATAAAAAAATGTTAAATTTCATTAAAATATTTTTATGTCAGAGTATACGTTAGTTTTTGCCCTCGTTTGTGTATGTTCGTGTTATTGTGTGCATATAAAATTCAACACTTTTCACTTGAAAATTGCAATAAATACGCGAACATAAAGTTTTGGCATACGTTTATGCTCACAAATAATCCTATGCCGAACATAGGCCGACAAGGCAAACATCAAGACATCTTGATGTTATTTTGAGTAATTGTTAAATATGTTTTATTGTGGTCTCCTTCGTTTTTTATTTTCTTTGGTATTTTACAAATCTCAAAATTCTTGGATTATGGCCAAATATCATGTTCCAATTACTTTTATGTCCGTATTCACCATAATACACAATGTACAATTTTGGGCTGTACAAATTTGTGGTGAAGAAAGAAAATATTTTAATAAAAAATGCAAAAACAAAACGAAAATGGGCATCAAACAAATGAAGTGAAAATTGAAACTGAAATCTTAAAAGGAAATAATAAATAGAAAACAAAAATATATTTTTTTTCTTTTCAACATTTAATCACAGTATAATACACGGCATTTATATGATGTGAAATGTAGCTGTCAAAAATAATAACAAAAAATATGGAAAACATTGCATTTAATAGTTGTTTTTGTCCGATGGAAATTACAGTCAGACACACACAAACATATTTACATAATAAAAATAACAACAACAAAAAAACTCCAATAAATATTCGAAAATATGCCAACGAAAATAATAAAACAAAAAACAATCTACATTAAAATTCTCCTGTCATCAGCAACGATGATGCCGCTGACAGACAACACATAAACGTAAACATTTATTATCCAAAATAATTAAATCAATTTCTATATGGTGATCATGTACACCATCATCATCACCCTTCTCCTCCTCCAACATATTGCAGCATGAAAGAACGAAAGAAAGAGAAAGAAAAAATAAAAACGAAACATAATGTAACAAAAACAATTTATTAAATCCAATTAAAAAAAAAAACATAACAAAGGACAACATCAATCATAACATTTTTTCTGTGTAACTACGCCACTGTTCTGTAATAAAAAATAACCGGCAACATAACGGAGTCTAATCCTTGTCTCTGTTTGGGCGAGTGCGGGGCGCAATTGAAATCGTTCAGAATGTTTGGTTGTATTTATCAATTATGGGATTGGTAAGTATACGATATGGGGAAAAAATGTGTTCAAATATTTTGTTATTGCTTTGCAATGTGCAAATATTTTAATTGCGTTTGATGAGCATCGATACATTGTTGAAATATTTATTAATTTGTTAAATATAAATTTTAATTGCTGGTTTCTTGTTATGTTGTTAAATTAATTAAAATTTTATTTTTTTCGAATAGTTTAATATTATTTAAAATAATTATGAATATTTATGAAAGCAATTAAAGGGAGTATTTTTTCCGAAAATGTTATTACAACAAAAAATTTACAAATTAAATCCAATGACCAAAATATAAAAATTATTAAATTATGAATATAAAAAATAAAGACACATACACTTATAAGAACGAGTATGTTCCTAATTTTCAAATTGTTATGAAACGCGCATCTAGTTCTAATATTATTGGCATTGGAAAATGGAAAATCAAGAGATTTTGGAAAGAGATATCATATGTAAACAGCCTGCGAACATCTTATTGAAATAATGTTATAAAGACACATAGTTCAGAATATTCCTGATCAAAATCATCTAAAAGCCCCTCACATAACCAACTTGAGACGATTCATACTCGGCGTTGGATAATAAAAGCCCCACTCGATCGAGAAAACTCAACTGACATCCAATTCTCAAGTTCAAAATTAAATCTTAATGAAATAGTCATTTCTTCAGTTCAGGCTTAATGATATTCCCGACCGTAGTTGACAAAAAAAAACCATCACACTGGATCTTTAGAAATCAACTGGTAGTTCGAATTCTTAAGCTCAGGTTATGAAATTGATCATTACCATGAAACCTCAAAATTCGCTTAGCATTTCCAGTTGGCTCTGCAAACAGGGATCTGATGGCCTTAGGGTTCGGAATAAACTTTGATTCATTGTGGCCGAATATTGTCTCTACTACTACAAAAGTCTTGAAGAGGAAAAATTTTTGGGGTTCCTACAAGCTCATCACTCACACTGAAAAAACATAAAAATTTAATTTTTTATACGCATCGCCTTTTATACAATTTTCTGTACAAGTCAAATCATCGTATATCTTTCCCGGAAAAATACATCATGAAAACAGAGATATATTCGATATTTCTCAAGAAATAAGTAAAAACAACAACTACAATGTAAACTTTTCAACCATTTTAAGGGAAAAATGTATTTGGTACTTTAGAGCGTATAACTGATATCACAAAGTATACGCTCCCATTCTTCGTGACCTAATAAGGCTTGTTCACAGGCAATTAAAATCCGACGGAGTTTTGCGGTTGGCTCTACAAACAGTCATCGGATGGCCTTAAGATTTGGCGTAACCATTGATTTAATCTGGTCGAATATTGTCTCTATCAATCAAATATCATTCCCAGTGGAAATTGGAAAATTAGAGACTTCTGGAAAGAAAAATAAAATATGCATTGCTCACGTATTCCTGTTTAAAAATGAAAATAATTGGTCTGTTCCAGAACTTTTTTAATAGTAAAGCCAGTAAAAGGGAAACATTTCAAAATCTCTCTCAGAGTACAAAATAATTTGAAAAGTTCAGGAACGAAAATGTAGTAAATATGTCAAAATTAGATGACAATACTTCAAAATCAACATAACAGCCAACCAGAAGTAGGCATTCCTGTTCACCATTTTTACTCGGCCAAATTTCTCGAGTAAAAGGTTTACAAAGAGAACGCCATTTTGTATTATGCTCTCTTAAATTAGATTCAAAGTTTACCCGGTTTGTGGGTTGAGGAACGGGTTTCGAGTAAAAAGTTGCAAAAGTTGTAAAATTAGTAGATTCTTTTAGGTTCTGGAACGGAACTAATGTAAAAATTGTTTTTTGCATTATTTTCGACATTTCTTAAGAGTTAATTCTGGTCATTTTATAGCCTACACTTCGTGGAGTAGTCACTTTAAGTGAAAAATTTTATTTGATACTTTAGAGCGTATAACTAATGTCGCAAATTATACACCACCATGTTTTGTGTCATTTACTAATAATGTTTCTACACAAGCAATTAAAATCCGAAGGAGATATTTACCATTTGGGGTTGGCTCCAAAAACAGGTATCTGATGCCCTTAAAGTTTTTCGTAAACGTTGATTTGTTTTGGCCGAATATTGCCTCTACTACTACAAAAAGTTCTGAAGAGGAAAACGTTTTGGGTTTTCTAAAGGTACCAACCAACCTGTTTGCCTCAGTAGGACACCAGATATTCGGTCGATTCTTTAGTTCAAATATTATTGGCACTGGAAATTGGAAAATCAGGGACTTTGGAAAGAAAATTAACGTTACCCACGAATCCGTTTTAAAAATTTTAAAATGTAAAATTTTTTAAAACTTAATTTTCCTACCGGGGATATATAAAATTTTCTGGTTGAAATGTTAAAAAGTTTTTATAGGGAACGCCTTATTTACATGTACAAGTCAAATCAATTTTCCCGAAGAAATATATCATAGAATCAGATAAAACGATAAAATCAGAAGTAAAAACAATAACTGCAGGGTAAACTTTCAACTCCTTAACATTTTTTAGATAACACTTCATGAATTAGTCATTTTAAGGGAAAATTAGTATTTCGTATTTAAGAGCGTATAAGTGATGTCGCAAAGTATACGCCTCAAACTTCATTTATTTGTTAATAATGTTTGTACTTAGGCAATTTAAATCTGAGGGAGATAGAATTTTCAAAACCATTTTAAAACATATCTAAATAATTATTTTATATTAACAACACATATAGAAAATGTATTTTCTAATCAGAAAAAAGTGTCAATTAAGAAGTCCGTCGCGAAATTTCGCAAAGTGGACAAGCAACAAAAACGTTCTTAACATAATGCCATTTATGATACACTAATAGTTAGGCTTCCATAAGTCATAGGTATACTCCAGGCTCAGGTCAATTTTAATTTGCATAATCTGGAAAAATAATATCTAAAGCATATTGACACATATATTGCCTCAACTCCTGAAATTAAAACATAGACTTGTTGCTATCAGGTATTTGGAACTTTATTGGCATTTTCACGAATATTTCATCGAGCTTCCATCCCTAGATTACCATAACCACGCAATAAAAGCAGTACAATACGTTTCCCTTCACTTCTATTTAACATTTACTCCACCGCCATTAACCAATCGGAAAGTTTAATCCTTATCCCGCCAGATAATGCGAAACCAATCAACTTCATGATACCTACAGTTCCTCCATCCATTAGATAGCGCGCTTATACGCTGAATAAGCAGCTTTTATTGCTACCGTTTTGTGTGATACACGTGAATGGCTCGATTGCTTAAACTTAACAAAAGTGTAAATGGCAACTGTGTATCGAGTCCAGACCCTGTGTGTTTGTCAGCATGTGTGTACCAACAACATACAATGTCGCCAGCGATTTGCTACTGCTGCTGCTATAGGTCTTTGTTAGAGTTTAATCAATTAAAAGCAATTAAGTGGGCACAAATGGTCACTGTCGTCGTCATCATCATCGTCGTTATTGTGTTGTCGCCGTTGTTCTATAAATGGCCAAGGTACTGCAGCAACAAAACAGTTAGCGTATTGTTGTAGGTCATTCATTTGATGCAATTACAGTAGTCATTAAGGTATATGGTATATATTGGGTACCCGTACCCTTCATGGCTGGGTGGATGTTTGGATGGCTGGTTGGTTGGCTGGATGGTGGGCAGTAGACACAGAGTAGATACATTTTGGATTTTATTTTCTGCATAGAGAATGGGGAATTGCTTGACAAATTGGCTGTTTACATGTAGCATTTTGTGGGAAATAAAAATAGGGGGAGGGAATAAAATAGAAAAAAGTTTTTTGTGCTGTAAAATGTTTAGCTAATTACTAGTTGTGTTTTTTTAATTTCAATGTGTGTGTTTAGTTTTTGCAAACCTTTAATTTTTGTTTTATTATTAACTGTGCCAGTTTGCTGATAACGAATGATTTCCATTTTTGTTTGATGTTCTTCACAAAGAATTCATTGCTAGAATGACCTAGTTTAAGATAAATATAATTATCGTTAATAATGTTTTGTTTTCTCTCTCTCTCTTTGCCCCCTTTCATTTTACAGGTTAGAAGCGCCCCCGCTGTTTTCAGCGGCCACCATGGACGCCAAGAAATTGCAACAATTACAACAATCACAAAATGTCCAAAAGAAAATACCATTGGCCTATCAGACTAACATTGCCGACTATCGTACCGCCACCCATTCACCAGTCTTCCAACAGCAGCAGCATCATCAACAACAGCATCACCATCAGCAACAACATGGCGGTGGCGGCTATCACATGTCCAATAGTCATATGAATAGTGGTGGCGGTGGTGGTGCCGGTCATTATCAACAAAGTCCCACGACGACATCATCGAGTGGTCCACTCTCACCCATTGACATCCAGCCACAGGCTAGCAAATTACTGCTGAAACATCAATTACAAAATTCCGGCAGCGGTGGTAGTTCCATACAAAGTTCACCCTATCATCAGGCCTCAATATCATCGGGTTATCCTACCAGTAGTGGTGGTGGTACCGATCAGCTCTATCAATCGCCACCGGAGCGTACATATATGCAGGCGGCAGGTCGTTTGGGTTCCAGCAATGCTACGTCTATGGCCCTGCAGCAGCAATATCAACAGATGCAACAGGCTAAGTTGCAGGCCCAAATAGCTTCGCAAAATGAGGCCATACAACAGCAACAACAGAGGAATTTTGCCATGCGTCAAGCTATGAATTCAGCTGTGCCACAAGGTCATTATCACATGTCACAACAACAGCAGCAACAATCAACGCAACCTCAACAGCAGCAGCAGCAGCAACAACAGCATCGGGCTCCTCCATCTTCATTGAATTTAACCAATCAATTTCAACCAGCCTCAGGACCCCTAAAGGTCAATCAGCAAAATTCACAAAAATCCTCCCAGCAATATCAACAGCAGCAACAACAACAACAGCAGAATCAACAACAACAACAGCAAGAGCAAATCTATGGCCATCATCAGCATTCCCAACACAGCTCAGCTCAGCCAGTGTTCCAGCAGATGCATCACCATGCCCTGCAACATCGTTCCAAATCCGATTTACAAACACCTGGCAGCAGCAATGATCAAAGTCCAATTTACATTCAACAAAATCATCCTGGTCATGTGGTCAATCAGGCAGTGCAGACACAAATCTCCACTGTAGCCAAGGCCACAACCATTACAAAAACACCCAGCTCAGAAGATTCCTCATCGGCATCGGCTAAAAGCCCCACACATGCCCCATTGGATCGTAAGAAATCCGCTGGCAGTTCCAATTCTCAAGCTCAGGCTTTGAAATCGCCCATTACAAAGAGACCACCCAATTCACCCGTTACCATTTCCGGTTGGCTCTACAAACAGGGATCCGATGGCCTTAAGGTTTGGCGTAAACGTTGGTTTGTCCTGGCCGAATATTGTCTCTACTATTACAAAAGCCCTGAAGAGGAAAAAGTTTTGGGTTCCATTCTCCTACCTTCCTACAAGGTTTCCGCCTGCTTGCCAGAGGATAAAATCTATCGCAAATTTGCTTTCAAATGTGAACATCAAAATATGCGAACCTATTGGCTGGCTGCAGAAAATGCCGAGTCCATGGTGCAATGGGTTAGGGCTCTAAGTGCTGCCACAATGATGCAGGCTCATGGCAGTGCTGGAGATTCATCGGAACATCCTAGTGGCTCCTCGTCAGTCAATCACAGTGGTGAAAATTCAGATTCGGGTATTAACACCCTGCAAAGTAAAATGTCCGGACAGGGACAAGTAACACCAGCCTCCGATAATGGTGGTGGTGTTACGGCATCCAGCAGCAACAGCGGTGGAGGAGCTCAGCCCCTATATGCCAATGCTCCACCCAAACCAAGACGCATTACTGATGGTGGTTATTCCTCACCATCTCCCGAACACTCTGTGGATAATGAACGTACACGATCAAGTCAGCCACAAACTAACAATGGACGTCGAAGTGGTATTATGTCACCTACATTACAACAAATGCAGCAACATCAATATCAACAACAGCAACAACAACAGCAGCAGCAACGTTCCCAACATCATGCCATTTATGATACACGAACGGGTAATGTCTCATCGACCATACGCATACCCCAGGCTCAGGCCAATTATAATTTGGATAACCTCGATGCACAATATCAACAGCAAATGACCTTGAGTCCAGAAGAATATCCTTCATCCCCACTGGGCAGTCCATCCCAATATATGGATGCCCAAATGGAACAACAAATAATGCAGTTGCAACAACAACGCATGGCAGTCGATGACATATATGGTGAACGTGAATTATATATGCAACGTTTAATACAACAGCGTTATCCTCCCAACATGTCAGGTTATGGTGCAGCGGAACGTCGAACTCCAGATGCTTATGGTCGTTCGAAAAATCGTATATTTTCCGATTATGAAGATATTTATAATTTAACAGCAGCTGAGACGGCTGCTCAAGCAGCATTGTTGCAAGAGGCTGCCAGTTATCGGAGACCCCTGTCACCACCCAGCTATGAGGATAATAAATATTTGCCCACAGTTCCATCGCGTTATACACCCAATCATTTGGAGGTAAGTGAATGTGAAAAATTACTTTAAAATTTTTCCCATACTCAGACGATATTTAGTATTGAAAATGAGACATACCGATCCATGTTTATGAAGAGCCTCCCAAAAATGTGATCGTTATTTGATATATAAAAATATTAAACCTGCTTAAATTTAATTTTGCCTAAAAGTATGCCTCAAATTGTGTATAGATATTAGCTTTTCAAATTTCTATTTTATATTATTCTTGACATTTTTTTTTTATTTAAATTCAATTCCAAGTAAAATTTAACACAATGATCCCCCAACAGGGGATTTGGTAACATTGTACTTTAGATATAGTAGTAGAAAAAATTCAAATCTAATCCTCAATACACTTTCTAAAGTTAAGCCAAGTTAAAAACATAGTGGAAGAGGAAAAAAGTGAAATAAAATACATTCCAACAAATTCCGACGAAAAACCCCCAAAGGTTTACTGTGAACAGAAAGGAAAACCACCAAGCAATCTTCTTTGCTCGTTTCACCTTTTTTCCCCTACAATAGATGACACCTTAGAAATGTTAGCAGCTATACCGCACAAAAAAGGAACCAGGACAAAAATGCTTGATATTGCATAACAATACTCCCGCAAAAGGATACAACACAGCACACCACATTCTGATTCCACCACTCGCCCAATACACAGTCGCATACACACACACACACACTCAGCCGCACTTACACTATCACCTGATGTATTATACTATGCCTGGAGGAAATAGGCCAACATGAAGCACTACAAACCAACCAACCATCTAACATTCACTCAGTTTTGTATGCGTGCAACCAAACAATTTTAGCATATGGAAGTGGTTTGGTTGGTTGGCGGGGTGGGTTGGTATGGTATGGTCGGATGAGGTTAACACCAAAACAGAACACCATAAAGTGACAGATATACAATAGTTGGCGCGAATGGTTGGGCCTCCACGAATGCTGTTGTTGTTATTAGCTTTAATTCCATTTTCTACATTTTGTGGATTGTCGTACAAACAAACAATGTCATAGATTTTTGTTTTTGTTGGACACACAAATGTTTGAGATAGCATAATAAATAAAGTTTCCTAAACTACAAGTAGCATGTACTGGGATAGACAACATTTTATGGATAATTTCGGGTTTTTTAATTTGATTTAAATATTAATTGGAAAATAATGTTAATAGTTTTTAATTAACATAACCTTTTTCAGAATTAGTTTTTTTCTAATTGAAATAAATACTTCAGGTTCTTAGACATTTTCATTTCTCTTTTACGATTTTGTTTTATTTCAAACATTTGATACAATTTTAAAAATCTCTGTAAAAATGAAAATAGTCTAAGGCTAAAGCTGCTTAGACTGGCTCAAGTGTATTGATTTTCATTCTGTTAGGATTTTATTTCTAAGGATTCTTTATGTTATCCTTTTATTGAAAACAAATAAATAATGTCCTTACCGTATAGAACAGGTATTACTTTTATACCAACAGTTATTGGTGAGGGTTAAATGCTTGACATAAAAAATCCTATTTTATGATTAGCATTAATCTAATAATAAACAAATAAAAAACATGTTAAGTTCTGTCGGACCGAACTATTTCTAACATTCTCAATGTACATTCAACATTTCATAAAAATGTCGGGTACTTCATATGGGGACACTGTGTGATTGTAAGTTGTCTGTTATTAGGTTGTTTACATGGGAAAATTAGTCATTCCATGTATAAAATTATACTGGTCATTTTTAGGGGAGTTAGAGTTTGATAGTCTCGTTTCTGAAACGGTATGCTCTTTTTCGGTTTTAGTTACATGGTTCATTTTAGTTCAATCGTTCATTAGTACACAATTGTTAATTCTGTCATTGAATGGGAAGATCTAGATGGACGATTGCTTTAAAAGGAACCAGATGAACGAGAGTAAAAAGATACGACTGGAGCAATAGTAACTAGATGAACGGAAGAAATTGACTAGTACCGAACGTTCCTTTTGCGGACTAGTTTCAATGAACTACATTCCTTCCGGAACGACCCTACACTATGGAAACAGGAACTAGATGAACGGAAAACCGGAACTAGTACCGATAGTTCCTTTTGCTGGCTATTTTTCTGGAACGACCTTTCACTAAAGAAACAGGAACTAGATGGACAGAAGAACCGGTCATAGTACCGATAGTTCCTTTTGCGGAATAGTTTCATTGAACTACTTTCTTCCGGAACGACCATACAGTAAGGAGAACTGTGATTCATTATTGAAAAATTATTCTCTTATTTTCACGAAATAAGGAATGTGAAATTGCAGTCACTTCGGATATTTTTTTTTTTTGCAGTCAAAGATATTTTTCGTTATTCAAAACACACAAAATGACAAACTACAGCCACATTGGTGGGAAACTGCTCCTTAAATCTTCAATGTATCGGACGTGGCTCGGTACGGTTATATGGCACCTATACGAAAACGAAGTCCCATGTTGATTTTTTCTTGTAGGGAGATTTGAAATTCTATAAGAACCCAAAATGAAGACAATTCTTTGAAAAAAGTGCCCAAAGTCTCCCGTTAAGAACACAATGAGATTGTAAAAAAATCTCCAAAATGTTGAATATGTGGGAAGTCCCGTTATAGGGACTCCAAAATTCCAAAATTCCAAAATTTTGGAGGTACCATTATATTATTCCAAAATGAAGACAATTCTTTGAAAAAAGGTTGAAAAACGTGCTCAAAGTCCGCATAAAGGCGAAAATTTGGGGACAGCGTTATATGGAGGCATACCAAAACGTATTTTTATATCATATTTATTGATGGAAGCAGGGAATATTAACTAAACTCAACGCAAGTTAAGCCTTTTTATTCTCATATTTGAATATGTAGTGCATACATTCAGGCTGTTACAAAAATATAAACATTTCAATTATTTTCTTAAAATTAAATTAAATTTGGATTTTATTTTCATCTTTCTTGCTTATGTCAATCAATATTTCCTAGTGTAGGCTTTTCTTGTTACGTCTATTAAATGTGTGCTGCATACTTTCAGGCTGTAACAAAGAGAAATTGTAAATATTTTAATTATATTTTTTCTATTTACATATTTTTACTAAAATTTATTGTATTTAATTTTAAATATTTGGTGGTACATACATAATTACAACTGCGGCTTCTGCTGTACTCGCAACTAAATTCTACCACAATTAGTTTTAAACTCATTTGTCATTTTCTTAAATTAATTAAAATTTAAATTGAATTTTGTTGCCTAGTCTCGTTTTGCGGTTTCATTGGTTAATTAAAAGTGAGTGGGGGAGCGAGTGCACATACACATACAAACTAAAATGTATTTGTATATATTTTAGTCAAAACACTAAGTACACACTGGAGAATCCTTTCGTTTATATTTTATGTTGATTTATAACAAATTTCTATTCGACTCCAGTAGTTGTTATCTCAATACAAACGAAGTCAGACATATAAATTGTTGACTTCTCACGTACTACTCTGGTCATAATGTACAACAACTTGACAATAGAATGAATGGTTTCTACATTTGTTGTCTTTGTTAACAACAACAACAGCAACAACAAATTCATTTGTATTGACAGAAATTATAAAAATTTCTGACTTTACTCGAAGCAGAGGAGAGCGTCGAGGATTTGCTGAATACACACACACAAACGAACAAAAACAAGTTGTTTTCAAAACTAAAACCACAAAACTATGATAGCAGCACGCACGCATAAACTTGCCGCACGTAGCAAATGTCAGTCAGAAGGCAGTGAATGACTGTGTCAGTCATGTTTGCAGTTTGTCAGGCAATCGTAGACAATTAACAAAAGTTTATTTAGACAAATGTGAAATGTGGGGGGAGATGAAAAGACATATATTAAATTGAAAAATATATAAATATATTTTTGTTAGGCTATGGTAGCCAATTAATTGAATGTATTTTAAAAATAGTTTGGCATTTATTTTAGTTTCCATGGCCCAAAGCCGAACAAACCCCCAATAAATCTAATCATTACAAAAAATCTTTTATATATTTTCTTCGTACCTATTTCAAGGATATATATATGAGTACACTTACACTTGATTTTAACACCAGCACACTCACATTTCTCTGTAATACATTTACTTCACACGTGGCTTAGCAATTGTGGTACTCGTGTGTGTGTGCTTATTTTCTAAAAGAAGTAGATTTTGACAAAAGCCTTTGCGTGCAACACTACCATATTTCAAATTCTTCCATAGTTGTGAGCGAGATTGAGAAAAAGAACAAATCATTTCTCCTTCGGACCACACAAACACTACGAGTACATGTGCAAATATTTAATTGAAATTCCAATCTGAGACCCTGGAAAAATATGCCAATAAATGGTATTTCGTTCGATACGAATATTTCTACTAAACTACTACTACTTCTTCATCTAATTCAAAGAGGATGTAAAAATCCTTTTATGCTTTGGAATGTATTTGATTTCCACACAAACAGTCAAACACACACACACACGTACACAATTCTCTATGATTGAAGTGAACATTGTAATTTGTTTAGTTGTGTGCCCTTAGGAAGGCGGGGAAGAAGGTGTGCATGTGTATTTGTATATTGGCAAGGTAAGGTGATAAGCTAATGAAATGGAAGATTTGTGTGTCGATAGTTAAGCAAGGACACATCAACATCACAGATGCAGGATGTTTACTCCATTCAAGTAAATTAGAATTTGTTGAGGTAAAGACAGAGAGATTTCCATTACTCTACTAATGGTGTTTTGGATAAAGAGATTTGCGAGATTATTTTGTGTTTATTATTAATGGTAAACTCTAATCTAAGTAATACAAAATTAAATATATAAAAATACATATTAAAAAATATTTTTGCAGAAAAATTACAAACCATGAAATGGCATTGCTCTCCTTTTACAGGTTTCGACCAGAAGAACTATCGCTAATATTCGAACATAATTCAAATTTAAGTTTGAAAGGAATATAACGATTTGACAAACTTGCATTAAATCGTTTACTTTCTTCGAGAGTTATCCTGTTCACTAGCCTGAAAGACGGTCGGACGACATTTGTAAATGGACTCAAAATTATCTGAAAAAGATATATACACTTTGATACGGCAAAAACGTGTCACATCGAAATATTGGTTTTAGACCCCATGTTTCTTTGGACCAAATCCGTTTCAGGCAATTTGGAGTCGACTTATGTATGTCAGTCTGTTTGGCCGGCTGGTGCACACGATAACTCTCGAAGGGAGTGAAACCCTTTACTCCCTTTACCATTATACCTTTACCATTGCATACTTAATATTTCTTTCAAACTTAGTTCAAGTTCGAAGATGGGGAATATCGGCCCACTCCTTCTGGTAACTCCCTCACAAATTGTGCAACAACAAATAATTTTGCAATATTGTGCGAAGGGACTAATCGATTTGAACCAAAATTTGCACAAATTATTATCTTTCCCAAGCCCAGACAAAGTCCGAAGATGGGACCCATTGGTCTACTCCTTCTGGTACCTCCCCCACAAATGTTCGAAATTGTCAATTGTCATTACAAATCCAATATTAGGCAAATTGAGTGTCCGGTTTGAACCAAACTGAATGTAGGTCTCATTGGTCCACTCCTTCTGGTACCTCCCACACAAAGTTCAATTTTTTCAATGTCAGGTGAAAACAATGTCCGATTTTAACCAAACCTTGCACAACCTATTATCTTTAGGAAGTCTATATCAAGTCCGAAGGTGGGACCTTCCGGTCCTCTCCTTCTGGTAGCTGCCCCAAAAAGGGTAAATATTTTATAAAATAGTAGATGAATTTGAAGCGAATTGAATAACCGATTAGATCAACATTAACTCCGAAACCTCATTGATAAAAACACATACCTTATATCAAGTGAATAATAAAACCTGTGTGTAATTCCAAAGACCTCCACAAACATAGGTTTGATGAGGGTAAATATCTGTCGGCAACATCGACTGACACTTGTTTACTTGTTGGCATAGCTCATTATGCAAATGACTGAGGGTTATAAAAATATATAAAATAAGTATAAGCATTTAGGCACACTTTTTATCGTATTAAGATATTTTGGAGCTAAGCTGGAGTTAAAAGTCCCCATGTTGGTCCCACCTCCAATATATATTTTTGTTCCCTATAATCGTACCTATTTTTAATTAACCATTTTATATATAAAACTGTTATAAAACTGTTTTTTAATATTTTTAACCAAGACTTATAGCAAAGATGCCAATCTTACAAGTTAACCATTTTCGCCTGGAAGTATGCTACAAAATATAGCTAAAATAAAAAAACCATAAGCTGTTGCGCTATATAAAAATCTGTCGATCAAATTACCTGCATAGAATTTTGTATATTCTCCTAATCTAAGTCTTTAAATTCTTAACAGCCCTTCTGAAATTAACAATTAGAAATGGCATAGCGCCCCACTTACACCACCCCTCACTCTCAATTTATGTGGTAATTTATTTCAAGTCGTCGTTTTTTTCTATCCAGCTCCTCAACAACAGCACCAAAATAAAAGCAAAACAAAAAAACAACGAAATGTAAAGCCATTCTAGCAAAACACTATGAATCTAGGTAACTGTATATCCTCCAAAGGATACCAGCAGTCATTCGTCGTATTGCAGAATACATGAAATGGAGATTTTAAAAGAATAAACCATACATTTTTTCTCATTTTTAGTTGAGTTGAGTTATTTTTCTACTCCACATTTTTATTTTCTTTATTTTTGCTGTTGTTTGTTTTCTATTTGGTTGTGCAAAAAGAAAAACACAACGAGTGCTTTAGATTGTGGCAAAAATAATACAAGAAAAAAAACATACAAAAATAAATAAATACGAACAGGACATGCGACTGGCACATACATGCATGGTCTAGCATAGCAAAAACTCCTAGTTTTACGGGGCACATACGTACAGAGTTATGCTGGTTAGTTAGCTTTGCTGTTAGAACCAGCTGCTCTATAAACGCTTAGGATGTTACAATCAAATGTACAATTTTATGTCGACATGCCATTTGAGGGTGAGAGAGAGAGTGTGTGTGTGCTGTTTTCCTACAAATAAAAAAGGGTCAGTTGATAGCTTGGACTTCTGGACAGAAAACTGCTAACTATATATAATGGTATCAATGGTTATTAGATTGGAAGTGCAAGATTTTTTTTTAAATTGTAATATAAACATCAGCTCACTTTTTGCGTATCCTCAAATATCAGTTATTTCAATGTCTTTTTAATATTTTAATTCCAAGACTTTTTTCTGAATATTTAAAAAAAAATATTTCCTACTTTGAACCCCTTTTTATTTGTATAGTTCACAGCTGACTAAGTTTATAGGTCAGTAAAGAATACTTTAAGTTGCGTTCTCCTTTCTTTGAAATTTTCTTTTACTTTTCTTTTTTTAATCGTAGCCGGTATCTTGTTGCAAAATGAAACAGTTCATAAAAATTTGTTATTTCTTTTAATTTTCTTGGATTTCCATTGAGATTGAAGCAATGTTGTTGTAATCGTCTTGCGTATGTCATTTTTGTGGGACAGATGGTTATGAAAATATATATTTTTTTAAAGTATTTACGAGAATTATTTTGCCAAAATGTTTTGAAATAGTTAAGCGGCTTAAGGAAATTGTCATATCTAATAGTCCATAGATATATGATTATAATGATTATATTATATTGATATGATTATAAATAATTATAATAATATGGTTATAAATAATTTTTTTCTTAAGGATTCCCTACTCTTTTAAGGGGACCCCCCCCCATTCTCGGGGTCAAAAATGCTGTTGATATAATTGGAATCTACACTAACTAAAGAATGTCCCTACAAAATTTCAAATAAAAATCTCAACAACTCTTAAAGATATAGCCGATTTATTGTGTCAGCATCAAGTGACGGCTGAAGGGTTTCTCAAAATTTAAACGAGTTTTTCTCTAAACATTTTTTTGCGAATGGCGGGCACGATAACTCAAAAACTAATAACCCAATCGACTTCAAATTTTTACTCGTTTCTCTGTGAGTGTATAGCTATCGTATGAACTAGGATAAAGCCAATCGGTGAAGATCTTCCTTATTTTTTAACTTGGGATTTGGTAAAAAATCGGCGATTTTTCAAAAATATTTTTTCAAAGGTCCACCATTTTGTTAATTTTAGAGCGAAGTCAATAATCCTAGTTCATACGAGATGTGTACTCTTTCTAACACCGTTGGAATTTTCGGATTCCGATGTTCCAGTGAGGAGTTATCATGCCCGCCATCAAAAATAAGGACTTTTCTTTAATTACAAAAAACAACAACAAAACAATAACAAAAATTTTTTGTAAATTATTTTTCTTAATTTTTAAATCTTCAAATATATATGTGTAAAGTTACAAACCTTAACAAGCATTGGTTTTGATTTACCAGCCCATTAAAAATCTTGAAAAATTAATATCGGGAATGGGGGGGGGGTTCCCTTAAATTATGAAAAAATTCCTAAATAAAATCCTTATATTCCCAAATATGGTTTATTATTGACCGAGAAGTATGTATTAAAATATATAAATAAAAAAATCTACATTTATAGCCTAAAGTTATACTTAAAACCCTAAAAGTATGTTATATTTTTATATTGTCACCATATTGTACAGGCTTTCTGTACCTTTTAAATTCAAGACTTCCATATATTTGTAATCGGTCAAGATAATATCCTTAACTCAGATTGTCTCCCAAAATATCAGATTCATCTCGTTGGCATGTCCACAAATATTTCCAAAAGTGGCCTCTTAAAGCCCGTACAGTATGCTATACATTTTATAAACTTCGAAGTCACATCTATAGTCCTAAATATATACTTTGAAATTCCAATATTTGGGCCTAAAAAGTATTCTTTTAATATATATTCAAGACCTTATTAAGAAATTAAATAAAAACTTCCAAGGCTATATATCGGAAATAAAAATGCATATACATCATATCCTATAATCATTGATTCAATCTCAACAATCCTTCCAATTTGCATAACCCTGAGCGTATGTTATAAATGTGATTTTAATGTTTTATTAAAAGTCCGTATTATTGAGCCTAATTTATCGTTTAATTTTATATTAAAAATTCCAACCCCATTGCCTTACAAATCATCAACAATCTAATTAGAATTTCAACGTTTATATTTTTAATATTTGACAAAATGTATACCTAAAAGTATGCTATAACAAATATTACTAATAATTTTTCATAATAGGATAATTAATTTTATTTCTATATTATATTAATAATAATTTTTACTCTTTTTTCTTTCCAGCTCTCCGCTGTTGGTAGCAATCTCAATTTACGCTCAAGACCCACCGCCGGTCTTGTACGTCCACATTCTGCTGATTTCTTGGAGTACGAAGCACGCGCCGAAGCGGCTTCTGATGCTGCTGCTGTAGCAGCCGCTACAGCCATGATTAAACCCGATCCCGTACGTGCACCACGCCCTAAATCAAGTTTAGACATCAATCGTACACCCGATAGTTTTTACTATTCCGAAGAGAATTATGCCGAGAAAATGCGCAAAAGTGCTTTGTATTTACAAAATCCACAAGCTCAACCACAACCGGCGGCTGGTTCATATCGCATGGCCACCGGCTCTACAGATTTCCTTAGCCCCGTAGCCAGTGGCATGAATACCATTGCCTATGAGAATCCCTATGAGCGGATCTATAAACGTAACGAACTGTTGCAAGATGCTTTAGGTAATCAAGCAGGTCATACTAGCATACCACGTATGAGTCGTTCACAAACAATGGGCAATGGGGCCCAGATTCGTTCATCCTCCACTCACCCACATCATCCACTATCACCAACGGGCACAACATATCAGCAACAGCCACCACCGCTGCATACGCCATTACTTTCATCCGGTCTCACAACACAAGAAATTATCCAACAAAATGAACAGTTCCTACGTTCAGCTAGTGCTCGCTTACCTAAACGTTCATCCACATTTGATGATGAACCACTATCTACGACCACAACCACTACAACACCCACTTCTCCTCCTCCTCCATCCACAGGCACAACAGCAGCAACAACTCCGACTGCAGGTGGCGGCAATGCTGCGGCAGCCGCCACCACCGCCCATCTGGAGGGCGAACGTAAGCGAGAAGAGTCCATGAAACGTTTGCTCGAGTGGAAGCAGCGTATGTTACAATCACCGCTAACACGTAAATCAGCCCAGCATGTTTCGAATTCGGCCAGTGCAGCCACACTGGTGGGCCAAAAGACAAATGGCAGTTCGGCTGCAACATCCAGTGCCGCCACCAAATTTGGCAGCAACAATGATGGCAAACCTAGTTCCAGTTCAAATTTAACTGCCATGTCTAAATTGGGTAGCAATCCCAACATCCTGTTAACGTCGACCACAGTGGCCAGTGGTGGTATCCATTTGGCGAAAGGTGGCAGTAACAGTATGGCTGGTGGCAGTACAGCTGGTATAATACAACGTCGACGTTCGGAAAGTCAGGCCATAAGTGGTACGATAGCAGCAACGGCAGCTGGTTATAATTCCTATTCTTCGGATGATGAAGGTAATTAATAATGCACGCATAGCAAAAACAAAAAACGAAATACGCATACCAATACTAAACCATACACACATATATACACATACCCAGAGACATATAAACACTTTGGCACAGTGTGTATTTCTACGCCTAATTGGATAGCCAAGAGTGGGTCGAAAAAAGAAACACATAGAGACAATAAGAGATTTTGTGGAATATTTTTTTTACTATAGGGACTATTTGTGAATATTGGGGATTATGGTACCTATTGTCATAGGATATAATTTAGATGTCTCTTGATAAATGTTTTCATTGTAACGGATGATGGTTGGGGTCCCAGCGAAAGAGGAATGATGCTTTCAAAGTGGGTTAGAATATTTGTAAAAAGAGGAGTGCATGTAATTACTAACCTCGGCCTCAACAAATGAGGAATTATGTTATATTCCTATTTCGTTTTATCTTCATGAAGATAGCCCCACCCAGAGGAAAATGGCAACACTAAATAAGCAAGGACTCCAACCTATCTAATTCACAAAATTAGAGGAGACGTTGTTTCTAGGAAACGATAGATGGCTGTCACATTACCTAGATCAAAGCTATTGCAGACCATCAAAGGTCAAAAGGAGTAAAAAAAAAGTCTATTATTATAGGATACTATTTTAGTACCAGATTTTTTTATTTTACCCCTTCTGTAATATGATTTAACTTGTTTTTTAGGAAAGCTTTAACTGTAATAGAATACTAAAATGACAACACTAAATAAGCAGAGACCCAAACCCAAATAATGTGCAAAAATCAAGGAGTTGTTTCTAGGCTGCGATAGATGGCTGCCCATCACCAAGGGCAAGACTATTGCAGACCATCAAAGACCTAATCGAATAAACTGGCGATGCTTTGTGGAATATCTACTTTCCGAAAAGGAGTAGCAAAATTTAGAAGTCTATTATTATAGGATATTATTTTGGAACCCTGTTGTCACTTTTAATCGCTGGAAGCTGTTTTTATATAGTTCATAGGGTACTACTTTGTAACAGTTTTATTAGGGCGTTGTTTTAGTACCTTTTTTAGAATCTTGTTGTCAAAGAGTACTATTGTTAGACCATATTGTTATTGCATACTATTTGTAGGCACTTTTGTGATTTTAGTGCACTATTGTCATTGTGTACAAATTACCTACCCTATTATAGATTACTATTTATGTACCTGTTATCAATTGGTGCTATTTTAGTACCCTCTTGTCATATGATACTATTTTAGTACCCTTTGGACACTTTATGTAATAGAATGCAACCTGTCTTTTATAACATTATTAATTGTAATAGGCCAGAGTACAATTTTAGTAGACTTTTGTCACAGGGACCAATTTTGGTATACGTTTCTATAAGATACTATTTGGTACACCTTTTCCATAAAAAATATTTTTGTAGGGTACAATAGGACACCATTTTTATGTCCTATATTAATAATTGTAAAAATATAAATTAGAAGTTCCATGGTCCTAAATTTTTAAATGTTATTAATCAAACTCTAAATATGTCGACCCACTCTAAGGCTAACAAAATAAAAAGAACGCAATACCACACAACACTTCACACAAAAACACACATTTACACCAAACTTTTCGAATGCTTTTGATTCAGAAAAAAAGAACATTTTTGGACAATCCTACATTCGTTTTCTCCTCTCTCTCTTTACCCCTTTGTGTATGCTTTAATTAATTCTATTCTACCTATTTTTGGGGTTTTTTGCACTGTACTTTTTCCTATACCAATAACTTTCTATTTCTTTCTCGGAATTTTTTGGGACTTTTTTGCTCTACCGCATATTCGTTGTGTACTTAACAATGAGGAGAAGGGATTTATTTTGCGAACTTTTTTATGATTTTAATTCACTTCTTCTAACAATTTATGGAATATGAATCCGTCTTTACTTTTCTATTTTTGTTCTTTTCCTATTTGCCTGTTCGTATTAAGTAGTTTATCCTTGTTTATTATCTATAGTTTATGATTAATATTTTTCGTAAGGTATCTATTGTCCGTAAGATATATGCATGTATTTATAGAATTACAAATTGCTAGTCATATTGATAAATCTCTTCTCAGTTACTTATAAAAATAATTCGGAAAATAAATATAGAATTATGTAGTAAATATCCAGATAGGAGATGTATTCAAAATAGCCTATTAAAAAAGTTTAAATTATCTTGCGCCTAAAAATATGTGTGGATCAAGATTCGAAGCCTCTACCTCCAGCAATTGATAATAATTTTGAAATTTATGTAGACGTATACAAATTAAATTATTTGGCTTAAATATATATAAGAGGTTAGTTATTACAAACAAGAATGGATACACCGCGAATAAAAATAATTTTAGAAATACTTAGTCACTTCAAAGATTTTTTATTGTTTTTCATGGTACGATCATTTCAAAAATTTTATTCTATAAAATAGAAATTTTAAATCTGATAAAATATAGTTACAATCCAGCTTCTTCATGCTTATGTCCAATTATATAAACTTAATTGGGTTTTGTGGTATATTTAATTTATAATTTTCACTTCCACCTCTTTTATGTTTAATTTTTTTTATTATTTGTTATGCTTTTTTCTTGCTATCGCCAAATCTTTTTTGTTTGTTTTTTTTTATTTTATAATTTTTTCTTTTATGTTTTGTTCTAATTTTTTATTTAATATTTTCTTTTGGAAAAAATATGAAAAATGAGTAATAATAATAAAACTGCTGTCCAACATCCATCCAATCCACAACTGCTATTCTACTGCCAAAAAAAAAGAAATTAAACAACAACAACTAGAGCCTTCCTGCCGAGCGTTTAACAATTGAAAATCAACTCAACAAACCAAACAAAACTTAAACAAACAGAAAAGAAAGAAATTTATATTAAAAAATAAAACTATAAAACAAGTATTTGATTATTGAAGAGTATAGTTTTAAACACCATTGTATTATTTGTTGCTTACACACAATACCATTCATTACAATTAACCATATTCTAAAGGCTATCAAATTTAATTACCTTATATTAGTTACTTTTTTGCATAAATTTGATGATTTGATTTATTTATATGAAATTATGTACATTTATACATAATACAGTTATATTTATTCTAACGTTTTCTCGTTTGGGTAAAATGTGTGAAATCTATACACATTTTTAAATCGCGGAAAGATACATTTCATACTTTTATGATAAACACATAAATTGTCTATTTCTTTATAGATACTTTTTAACCATTCCATAAAGAATTCCATAAAAAACCAAAAACACTGGTCTAGATCGATATATTGCTTAGTTCTGATTAAAAAATAATCATTAAGGTTTGAAGAAAAAAATAATCTTTCAAAGTAATCCACTTATGCCATTGTTTTTTTTTTCAATTTTCCAAACACGCGCATTTTGGTATAGTCAAAAGCTCCTGATTCGATTTTTTTATTTCCTCAATCGTATCAAAAGGTTATCCTTTCATCGGTGTCTTCAGTTTCGAGAAGAGGGAGAATGCAGTTCAAGTCCTCCGAATATGGTGTTTAAATCATGATAAAATATTTCGTTTTGGCCAAAAACTCAGCCACAAGCATCGATGTGTGTCGTATTCCATAATTTTGTACATTTCTGGGAAATTGTTTCTCTTAAACGGCACATAACTTTAAGGGGATATTTTAATTGAACATATGATCTTGTGGCGAGAATTCATGATACACCACGCCTTTGATTTTTTTTATCAGCGCCCAAAATTTATATTTTATTCTAGAACTTAAAAGATGATGAGGTGGCATTATATGGAGGCTATACCAAAACGTGGGCCTATATTGAAATTTTTCTGCAAAGGGCCACCTATAACCTGGAACTCCAAATTACAGTCATTTCGATGCTTCTATGACGATTAGAATATATATAAAGAGGCGTTACCTATGTATGGTGGGTATAGTTTAAAATTTAAAAACTGCGAGCTTTATTTTTATTATGGACGAACCTGCCGACATATGTGGGGTCTCCGACGTATATTTGAAAGCATTGCAAATTTAAGAAACACGCGCAAAAAACCGTAAGGAAAGTAGTAAAGTCGGACTGGGCCGACTATATGATACCCTTCACCACTTTGGATATATTCCTAACAGATGTCGCTTTTTCGAAGGATTTAATCTTTATCTATATGTGAACCGACTAACATCAACCCATACATATACCATTTTGCAACCAATGCTAAATTTCACTTCATTCATTCATTTATTTAAATTGATTTAAAGCAAACTTGATAAACGCTATTCGGTAAATCTGAACCGATTTTCACGAAACTTAACACACATCATTCTAGTCTTACTTCAAGACGCTATGCCAAATTTCGTGGAAGTCGAAAGATATACAGGGACTTTGGTGCACCATATACATTAAATCGGACGAAAATATATATGGGAGCTATATATAAATCTGAACCGATTTCTCCCAAGGGTTTCTAGGGGCGAACCCCACCTAGCCGAAATAAATGAGATGTACCAAATTTCATCCATTAAGATCATAAATGCGACCTGTACTTTGTTTAAAATTTAACATGAAGAGACAGACGGACGAACGGACATGCATAAATAGACTCAGAAAGTGATTCTATGCATATTCTCAGAAGGAACCATGTGTCTATCTCGTTTCCATGTGTCTTTTACAAACATATGCCCAAACACGTAATACCGTGCACCACAGTGTGGTGAAGGGTACAACTATATCTAGGGGCCTCCACACCACTCAACGATTGCTTAGAATGTTCAGATAGTTAGATTATATCACCTTCACCCTCCACAACTCCCAAATTAAAGAATTAAAAACTGAAAACATTTTCTCTTCGAACATTTATGATACGATGAACGGGGTGATAGTGAATTTGATATGCCCTATCTGTTGAGGTTCCATCGATTATGTCATCGATAAGCCTATTTTTCGGTACCTCAACGATTACCTATCATCAACAGAGAATACCAATCGCTAAGGAAGAAGAATCAGAAAGCTAAAACACTTTGCCGCTAAAACATTAAGAATTGTTTATAAAGGAATAAAACATTAATTCAGACCGCCAGAGTCTTTAAATTAAACAAGTATTTCATTTTTTAACAACCACCACCAGTTCCTAATTAGCAACACATAAGTATCGCCTGTATATTTGTCGTGTTGTCTAATATTCATTTATTGTTGTTCGTCTTTGTGCAACAAATACTTTCGGCTCTAAAGCTACTCTGTAGATTTAGAACCCCTACAAGTCCATGCGCCTGTATCGGAATTTGTACACTATCATTAAAACATTATACCAGTAATACTTCTTTGAATTTATCCAAAAATGTGACCACTCTTAAGTGAAAAATATCAATTCACCACATTTGCATTTACTCAAATGGCATGAACGAGCCCTGTCCGATTCGAATTATAGATTTCAAACCGATAATAATTCCAATCCAATCATCAGCTGATTTTTGATTTCTACAATAAATTGAAACAGAATTCACCCTCGTTTATGGCCAGGCCCATACGAACTTTTAGTTAACACCGAATTCAAAAAGTTAACAATTTTTATTGAGATGATTGGCAATTTCCTCTTTAACTCTAGGGAGCAGGCCTGGGTCGCAGCTGATAAGCTTGAACTTCAAAATGGGCGACATTGTTCCCATAATATGGAGATAGCACAAAATAAACGGACGTAGCGTAAAAACCTCGCGAATTGAAATTTCGTGTTACTTTTCGAACAAAACCTCGAAGTGTTTTTACTTTAAAAATGTTGTATAGTAGATAATCCGTTTTTTCAACAAAGTATTTGTCATTGTTTATTAGGTCATGTTTCGTTCTTTTTTGTATAGCAGTAGTTAATCATATTTACAAATAATAATATTTATAAATAATATTACATTAATTCTTTACTTTTCCTGGGGTTTGCGGTTTAAACAACAACAACAAATAAAACGTTCACTTCATTTTATTTCCATTAAATGTTTCCTTTTTGTAGTTAATTTAGTTTGCTTTTAATTTATTTTTTTGTTTTTCCAAATAAAATTCATGGGTTTAAGGTTTTCTCTTGTATATCTACTATTAATTTTCCACATTAAAAAAAATAAAAACAACAATAATCCTCATAAAAAAGTGACATTTTTTGGTGCGCACTAAACAAAAAAACAAACCAACTTCATCATTGTTTAAAAAAATAAATAAACAAATAAACTTATTCATTTTTATTATGTAATTTGAGAATTTTCTGTTTTGTTTTCTTTTGTTTATTAAAATTATGATTTTTGTTTTCTTTTTCTCTTTTGTTTTTTATATATATAAATAAATTTACAAACATGTTTTTGTACAAAAATAAACCGAAACCCTTTAACAAACAAATCGTAAAAACAAAACGAACAAACAAAATATCCACTGATTCAGCTGGAACAATTACTAAAGCGCCGGCAGGAAGGTCTTCTCTACGTGCCGCCAGCACACCACCCAACAATAGCAACAACAAAAATTTCACTAGTATCATCACCCCAAAAACCACCAACAACAACACTACAGCTATACGAAAATCCCAAGTTTCGCCATTAGCCGCCATTGGTCTGTTGACTAGCGGTGGCCATGGCGGCGGCGTTGGTCAAGAAACTTTGGAGCAATACAACAACAATAACACAGCTAGCAATGACGACCATGACAAGGCTAGGATGGCAAAGCCAAAGAAAACCATTACCATAAATGACAAGGCATTAGAACAAGAAGAAAAATATGTTGAATATGATGATGACGAAGAAAAAGAACAACGACAACAACAACACTTGACAGACCGTAAACAGGAAGAAATGACAATGACATCTAGGAAAATGACAACAGGACTGACACTAGATGAGGGATACAAACCGAAATCCATATTAAAACCAATTTTAAAAACTAAAATTATAAATGTTAAGCCGGCTAATAGTTTAAGTAATCCACTAGATCCGCTGCCAGGCGGCACTTTAGGAAGTCAGGAATTATGTTCTAGTTTAGCAAAAACAAATAGCCAACCCACATCACCCCAGATTTCATCCTATGTACCGGTCTACAATACCAAAACATTGACACCATCAAAGCCCAGGACATTATCCACTACTGCCTATGAAAATATTGAAATACAAAATGTAAATGAAGCAGAGGAAGAAGAAGAAGACACAACCTCGACCCATGAAAACAATTCCCCCGAAGATTGTGAAAAAATTAAAAATGAAACAGAGGCTATACAAGATGCTGAGGCCACACCCATCCTAATGAATTTGAAGCGGTTCAAGGAAAAGGAGGAACAACGTTTACAATTCCAATTGAATTTAGATAAAATCGAATCCGCCGACCTCGGTGAGGACTCGGAAACCCCAACCCAAGAAACAAAATCAATTGTTGAAGAATGTGAAAGTAAAGAAGAAATTTCGAAAACCAAAAACTTAAATGAAGAAGGCGAGGATGATGACGAGGAAGAGGACACTGCCTGTGAATATACCGATGATGATTTGGATGAAGCCTTGGCCGAAGAGGCTGACGATGAGGAAGGCACTAACTTGGAAACCTCCCAACTTATGGACGAAGGGGAGGAAGAAATTTCCCAGATTTATGAAAATGAACCGATCACCCCATTAGAATCCAATCAACCCAATTTGGATGAATCTCATTATTTACCCATGACACCTAAAAAACTGGACACCGATTCTGAAACTCCGGGAAATGTTTCCTTGGTCTCAATGTTGGATGTAAGCAATGAGGAAGAGAGGGAGGAAAATCATTATGTGGAAATGACCAAACAGTTACAAGAGGATGATTCTAAATCGAATTATGAGATTATGTGCCTAAGGCAGTCCTCACCCAGTAGTACCACCACACCCGCTGGTATTGGTGGGGCGAAACCTAAACAGCTAAAAACCTTAAATGAACCACTCTATATGGAGTTGCAGGGTGGCAAACAACCGAGTACTCAAAAATCACCAAAAGAAAACAAAAAAGAAGATGACACCATTCTGCCACCGCTAAAGACCTCAACCTTGAAAAAATTAAAGAAATCCACAGATACCCTGAAAAAGAAATCCAAAAAATCCCAACAGGAACGGTCGCATCAAAAACGTAAAGATTTGCCCGATATTCTCAAGCCCTCACAATCGTCGATGGTTTTAAATTCCGATAGCTCAGATGCCGACGATGAATCTTCCAAACATATGGATTCAAAGAAAATGAGATCACGTTCCAGATTTAGTCTATCCGATACGTTTAGACCAGCTTCGTATTATCTTGGAGCCTCCACACCACTCAACGATTGCATAGAAAGTTCAGACAGTGAGATTGTATCACCACCACCCATACCCAATTCACCACCACCAATGGAAGAGCTCAAAACTGAAGAGATTTTCTCTTCGGAAAATTATGATACGGTAAAGCGACGTGATAGCTCTTCGGGTAGTAAATTTGATATATCCTACGAACAGTTACCGCAGAAGATTCATGCCAGCAATACTTCACTGAATTTACCCAAAAATGAGGCCACCCTTAAGAGTAGTCGCCTATCGTTGCCTGATCACTTCCGCAAAGTGAAAAATCTCAAATCACCTCATTTGCATTTACTCAAACAACATGAACGTACCCTGTCCGATTCGAATTACAGCTTTCAGACGGATAATAGTTCCAATACATCATCTGATTTTGATTTGTACAATAAATTGAAACAGAATTCACCCTCGTTTATTGCCACGCCCATTCGATACCAATCGAATTCGTCGTTGACACAAAACTCCAAAAGTTCCCTGTCGGGAACGGGCAATAATAGTGAAACGGACACTGTGGAACTAAGACACAGACAAGGTTCCGATTCAGAGCTGGATCGTCAACGTTCTCGACGACCCTTATCCCAGGAATCGATAAGTGAAATTGAATCACTAAGTGAGAAATTTGAAGATGCCCTTGATGCAGCCGATTTAGATTCGTATTTGAATAACTTACAAAATAACGACATCTACGTCTATCACAATACGAAGTTTGAAACACCTCCCAGTAATTTGTTAACAGATGCTGCCGCTGCCCAGGGTGCTGGAATTTTAACAAATCTGATTAAACCCCCGAAAATATTCCGCAATCAGGAAGATGAACATTTCTATGGCAACATTAATTTTGTATCCTCAACGGATTCTTTGCAGAAAATGGGTTCAGATGCAAAGGGTTCAGATTTATTAGGAGCCTCAAGTATGACACCCGTACGTTATATGACTCCCCTACATAGTCGCAATAACAGCAACATTTCCGAATCCTCGGCTCCATATTATTATTCCGAATTGGCTAGCAGTCGGGAATTGTTAAGTACACCCACAACGCTAAATAATCAACGCGATATCCATGCCCATGGTTCGAATATTGAACATATACACAATCCCATCGATAGGCCACGTAACATAAACGTAGATCTCTTGGCCGATAAAGATCAGGCCATAGATAGTAAAAATCTATATAAAATGAAAACTAATGTGGAGAAGCTTAGTTATAGTTCGGGTAAAAATTTAAAGACCGGTGAACCGTTTCAACAACTTGGCGGTGCATGTGGGGCACAGACATTCCATATACAACAAATACAAAATCCCGTTATAAAAATTAATAACTATCAGACGAGTAATTTAATTTATCAACCCAATAACACCATTACACCTTCGGCAACAACAAATTCCAATACAATTGGCGGCACAGCTGCGACTTCTCTAGCAGCAACCGCACAACCCAATGTTATGTTGGGCGCCACACCACATCATCACACCACGGTAACGGGTACTAATTCGGGCAAAATGGATAAAAACATAAATTTACAAATGCTAAATAACAATGCTTTGGGTCTGGCGGCAACAGGTTCAACGGCAGTTATGACCTCCATGAAACCTTCCAATAATAATAATTTGGAAAAATCTACAGTTTTAGCTAATCCCGTTAGTGGCGGTGAACTTCTGTGGGAGGAAGATACATTGTGGCGTGAAAGTTTACGTCGAGTATCGCAGAGGCATGCACGATCTCTAGATGATCTGGATCGTATTGTAATACAACCACGTGGTAATATAATGCCAGTTATTGTGGCAAATCCTACACAGGTGGTGGCAGGATCTTCTTCGACCCCACAAGATGTACCCGATTATGCCAACAGTGAGGTGGCAAATCGTAAAACCCATCGTCTATCACGGGACGTTACCTATGTCAACGACAATGTATCACAACATTTACGTTCAAGTTTTAAAATGAGACATTCCCAAGGGGTTGACGAGGATGAGGAAGACGGCGATGATGATGTGGAACAACGAACCTATGATGAGGTATGTCCTGATGATCACCATAATGATGATGATGGCGATGATCAGTCATTAAATCGTGAACCATTACCCACAACTAATGATCATGATGTTTATGTACAGCTTAATGAAAATATGCTGAATGCCAATGTTGGTGATATCACCGCCGAAATGTATGAAGTCCTGCGCGAGGAAACTTCGTCGAATATATCATCAACTAAATCGACAGAAATTGATCGGGAGACAATACGTCAATGGGACTCGATGTCAAGTGGTCTAATGAAAAATAATAATAACAATGATAATGTGGTAGCCGCTGCAGCAACAACAACAACAAATGTTGGCAGTAATATTAAGGCAATCATTCAACAATTGAATGCAACATGTGATAATGAGGGCAATGATGATGATGATGTCGATGACAATGATGAGATAAATTCTAATTTGAATAAATAAATATATAAAATTTAAAATTAATTATTATTTTATTAGGCAGTTAGAATTAATTGAGGACAATAATTACAAATAGAAATAATGTTTTTTTTTTTTTTTGAAAAATTAATATTTTGAAATTAATAAATATTTTTTAATTTAAAATAATTAGGGCCTACAATTAGATATAAATTTAAATATTTTATATATTCTTGACAAATAAATTTTAGTTTCTTTGTGCGATTTTTTTACTGTGATAGGTAATAATGTGACAATAATAATTGGTGACTTTCCTTTTATTTTATCTATTCTCTATATATTCGTTTAGTTTTTAAATTTTATTGCTTGCTAGAGGCTTTTTTAAATACATTTAATAAATTTAACACTACGAAATACGAATCACATTTCTTTATTCGATTAGCTCTACATATTATATAATTTGAATCGGCCATTAAAAAAATCTAGAAAAAAATGAAACTCTAATTTAGTTCCAAAAAATTAGTTCATATTCAAAACATCTGTTCAACAAAAATATATGTCAGCTGATGAAAATTCATTTGTTGTTTGCATTCATAATATATATTACTATAATTTATAACGACAAAGGTTTTTATACATTTTCGCCCTAATAGAGAGCAATTTCTTACAGAATTATAAAATATTGATTGAAGAACTGCCCCGGAAATCATGGAAGCAGTCAAATGTGTATGTATACATAAACATACAACTACTGACAAATGAACTTAAATTCATTTTAACACTATTCTAAAGAGTTAGGGTTTGATATCTCGATTTACAAATCGAGTCGATTTAGAATTATTAAACCGCCTTTTTTCATGTCCGATACATTAAATATCTGTTTTTAAATAAATCTGTGCCTGAAGTTATGCCTAAAGAGGTTCCGATTCAGAGCTGGATCGATAACATTCCCTACGACCCTTATCCCAGTAATCGATAAGTTAAATCCAATCACATAGACAGAAAAGATGCCATTTTGGATTCCTGACTTAAATTGAACTAGGGATACGTAGTCGAGAGTAAAAGTCGGCTTTTAGACTTTTTGTTTTTGCGTCTGACCGTAAAGTGGATTTTTAAACTTTTCTTTTTTTTGCCATTGAATAAAAAGTCGACTTTTCGATCTTTCGATTTTGTCAAACCTGTTCAAAATCGATTTTCAAATTTAAGCTATTCGAAAACAATGAATCGACTTAAAATATTACAATGATCTAGATTGGGAAACCCCCTTAAATTGTGTACTTTACCAAATTGATGGTCGTTATGTCCAATTTTCAATATCAAACATCCTAGGACTTATATTAAGCTTAATATCACAAATAAATCAGGACTCCAAAAATATTATGAAAATATATCCTCTATCCTGTAGTACTTTAATTTTCCCTGGTGGTTCGATACATCCAAATTTCAATACCAAACCTCATAGAGGTAATATATTAAAACTCGTCCCTAATATCGATATCTGGATCATGATTTATTTAAATCGGAAATGCCCTCAATCAATTCCCCAAAATTGTGGACTTTACCAAATTGAGGGTCGATATGTCCGATTTTCAATACCAAACACCTTAGGATTTCTATTAAAGCTCGATCATTAATATCCACTTAAATCACGACTCCAAAAATATATGGAATACTGATATGTCCTCTAATATAAGAAAGAAAATGCTAAATTAAACAAAAAATAATAATTGAATATTTGAAGCGTAAAAAAATTACAAAAAAACCCACCGTTCTTCTTCGTGTACAACTACAATTAAATATTTGTAATATATATTTTTTAATTCTACTTATTGCAATGATAAAGATGTGATATTATATTTTCTGAGAACACTGTGCTTCCAAATGTCCAATAAGAGTCTATTAGAACTTTTGTATATATAACTGGGAACCTATTTCCCCACACCAATGGCTAATAATGTAAATAAATTAAATTAAAAATAATTTTTAAAAATGACTATTCTAAATATAACATTATACTTGGCTAATATACAAAATGTATGATACAAATTGATGACCGCGGACCATGACGTTATAATTTCAATGTACAAATTTTTGCAATTATTTTATTTGTGGTTGTATTTTTTGACAACTGCAATATTTTTTGGTTAAATACATAGATTTTTTTGGTATTTCTATTTTAGTTGGCAGTCATCTTCTCACACTAACTTAGTTAAAAAATTTAATGCAATCATTTTAGAACTCATGCACACACATACACACACTCTTCACATAGACAACAAAACACCATTTCGCCAATGTAAACCACCCATCCACACTCACACACACATAGTCCTCATGTATTTTTTTGATTTGTTATTCTAAAAAGGACATTGGATATGATGTTTGTCGACCGACTATCATTTCAACTCTGTCGTCTGTCCGACGTTCATTCACATTACAGACATTTAGCATTCATTTAGTAAAAACATACATTCATTCATACATATATCGAATTTTATTTTGGTAACCACAGTTGTTGCTGTTGTCGTTGTTTTGTTTTCTTAGTTGTGTTTTTTTCCTCCTAGTTATTGATTGCCTGCAGTTATTTGCATTTTTATTATAACATTTGTTTCACATTCTACTTCATCGTCCTTATCCTTACTTCTTCTGCCTCCTTTGCCTATGTTTCATTTTTATTCATCCTACTTTTGTATAAAATGTTTGGCTCTTGTCAAATATCATTGCTGCTGTATGTTATTATTGGTTGTGTTTTGTTTTCGGACGACAATGTTGTTGTTGTATTTGGTTGATGCTATTATTGAACATTTGTCGTTGTTGGTTGTTGTTGTTTTGGTATTGATGTTGGTCGATTGGTTGGTTGGTCGGTTGAAATCACATTCACACACAAAAACAATAACAAATGGTAAGAATTTATTTTTCATTTTGTACTTTTTTTATTTATTTTTGTTAAACTCTAAACATTTTTATTTCATTTTATTCATAGAAAAACATATAAACATACAATCACACATGCATATGTACACTGTAAACATATTTTATATAAATATAGATTTGTTATATAGAATATTTTAGAAATCGTTATTAGCAAATAACCAAACAAATGATTTAATTATGCCTTTTGAAGTTGAGTTGATCTTTTGTTTCAATTTTGTTGAGCAAAAAATAGTAGTATTAAAATTATTATTATTATTTTGAATAAAGCACATTTTTCAATGTTTGGCTAATTTTAGGGCAGTTGATAGATTAATGGAAGGATGATACTAGTCTCATATAAAATGTCCAATAAAAATACAAATATCTATGTATAACAGTTTTCCCATTGAATTATATTCGAATTATTTAGATTCATTATTTTTATTTTTCAAGATTTTCAATGGCCTGGCAAATCAATACCAATGCTTGTTAAGGTTTGTAACTTTACACATATATAATTGAAGATTTAAAATAGAAGAAAAATAATTTACAAAAAATTTTTGTTGTTGTTTTTTCTAATTAAAGAAAAGCCCTTATTTTTGATGGCGGGCATGATAACTCCTCACTGGAACATCAGAATCCGAAAATTCCAATGGTGTTAGAAAGAGTACATGTCTGGCTCTCGTATGAACTGGGATTATTGACTTCGCTCTAAAATTATATTTGAAAAAATATTTTTGGAAAATCGCCAATTTTTTACCAAAACCAAAGTTAAAAAATAAGGAAGATCTTCACCGATTGGCTTTATCCTAGTTCATACGATAGCTATACACTCACAGAAAAACGTGTAAAAATTGGAAATCGATTGGGTTATTAGTTTTTGAGATATCGTGCCCGCCATTCGCAAAAAAATGCTTAAAGAAAAACGCGTTTAAAGTTTGAGAAGCCCTTCAGCCGTCACTTGATGCTGACACAATAAATCGGCTATATCTTCAAGAGTTCTTTAATTGGTGTAGATTCGAATTATATCAACAAAATTTTTGACCCCGAGAATGGGGGGGGGGGTCCCTTAATAAAATTTTCGTAAAAAGGAGAGGATCTTCGAATATTTTTTTTTAATATTTTAAAATATAATACTTTACATTTGGTAAAGATTACTTATTTCTATTCACTTTCCAACTTTGCTCAATATTGGGTTAGTAACCCAACTACTTGAGAACAGCAATGTTTCCTTATCAAGGAAACATTAGATATCTTATATTTTTAATAATTACATCTAGTGCACGTTTATTGGAATTAGAAATCAAACATAGAACCACACACAAAGCCTTCCTATAGAGTCTTTTATTGCTCTCAAGAGGTTAATATAAAAATAGACAGAATTGTTAGGGACTTCCAAAACATCGTATACCGGACTGTACTCTCGTATGTGAGCTATCTCAAATCCTGAGGGAGTATTGTATCTACTACAAAATCCTAAATGCGCAAAAGTAAACTCTATTGGAAATTACGGTTTAAAAAATCAAATTAAATTAATCTCATATAGGGCTTACCATATATTCGACAGTTATTCCAAGTCGTTTTGGAAAAAAGTCAATCTTAATCATATGCCTTTTCATTGCGTTCTTTAACAAGTGATCTTTTAACGATTTCATTAAGTTTTAATGAGAGCCAAAAAATATGCTATAAAAATTCAAATCGATTTTTTCCAATCCTTGAAGCAAATCTTTAGATAATATTATCTCTTTCGATTTTTCTTGTATCTCTCCACTTGCAGCAAAGCGCTTACCATTTTTTATTTATCATGGAGCATAACCAATGATTAGTTTTTCCATAATCTGTACTTCGGACCAACTTCAAGGTATTGACCTCGCCATGCCATTGCAGTCGAATAAAACTATTTGCAAAACCTTCACATTTGACCAAACTTGACATGCTTTTTCGGATATGTCTGATTAGCTTTGCTTTCAACATCATGACTTTATGGACCTTATTTTGATAATCGTTGACAATGTTCAACAGCTCCCCAGTGATTTCCATGCGACATTGTTTTTGCTTAAAATGTAGCAATTTTGGAACAATCTTCCAAGCCACAAGTTTCATACCTAAAATAACTGTAAAAATTGCTTCGAACGATCGCCAATATCATCACTGACTTATTATTATCCAAATTATTTTCGTTGTTGTTTTAATATTTCCAAATAATATTTCAAATTTTATAATTTCCTAATTCTGTTTCACGATTTTGTTTAGTTCGCTAAGAGAAATGGATTCGACGTATTTGGGTAATACGGCCGTACAAAACATTTGACCATAGTCGGGAAGTTGAATATTTTTGTACGATTCGTTGAATTTTAGGTAACGTTGTCAAAGAAAAAATATTATTGTTCTATGTGAAATATATTGACATTTAAAACAAATTTTCTTTGGCTTAACGAAATGTATCATTCAATTAGCATTCGAAATTTATTATTTCAAATTTCCAAGAGATCATATAGTAGGGTTAATATGGGACTGCATTCAAAAAGCAGTTAAAATTTAATCACAAAAATTTCCGCTAAAGATCATGTTCTTGTTTTACCGTAGTGTAGACACGAACCAACTATTTTGAAGTTTAGTTACCACCCTGTTATCGATAGCAAAGCTACATGATGAAATACTCAAAAAATCTGACAGTAGCCTATTGATGATTTGTCTTCGTTATTTGTCCTGGCATTCACTGCAACAGTAGAAGTGTATCGAACACACGTCGAGCATTTCTTATACACACTTTACACATTTTTGAAGTGAATTCTTTACAGCTACGTTTTGATAGTGAGAGTCCGGTGTATTCTATTTTTCTATATAAAGGAATATTATTTATAAAATAAAAATGGAAATTATTATAGATTGATGTGTTATTATGGCGTATAATTTGCTTAAAATCACAAAAATAAAAAAAAAATCTATTAAAAACAATTTTTAAGTAGATACAAAGGTATGTGTTGCATTTTTTCCAAACGAATTTCTCACTTGAAACAAACAGTTGATTTAAAATAAGGTTGAAAGTGTTAGGATTACATAATGTTCTTAAATGTCTTTTTAAATCAATTAACAAATTAATGATATTACAGAGTCTTTTATACATATACTTTATGTTGTGAATAATAAAATATTAAAAAATAATAATGTAATTATCGTTACAATTAACGAAATTTCTAATCATGACAGAGACAATGTTAAAAAAGTACAATTCATATTGTCTGGCAACACTATTTCTTCAAAGTGCATTGACGATTATTTTTGTTTTTGTGCAGAAGTTCGAAAACTTCAATTCGCGTGGGAAGGGGAATTAAGTTCTTAGGGCAAGTGTATGTGTAAAGTGTATAAAACATACCGTGCGTTCCAAAATATAACCGATCATTTTTAATATAGATCAAATCTTATATATATTTTTTTAAAATAAGGTGAAGATTTCACTGATTTTATTTAATCCTCACCATAATTCTCAAACTAATCAATGTTATTTAAACTAAATGTATCATACAACACAAAACTAGAATCCTTTTAATTTCTGAAATCTGTGTTACGCAAATAAGGCACGAAATATTGATATTTATAATTCGAATAAAAATTTCTTAAGCATTTTAATTTATTTATTTAAGTCTTCATTTCTTCTTTCAAATTCAGTTAGAAATATTCTCAAAACCCCATATTCCACTTACATTTTATTTGATACCTTCCAAATTTATTAAATTGAAAGCAATATATTTTTTTAAATCCGAATCAATTATATAATACAAACTAAATTCAATTATTTATTTAAAATCACACACATATATTTATTATAATTTATTAATCGAAACAAAAAAACATTCATTTAATTTCCATTTTCATTGTTTTTTTTTTCCAACATTTAGCTTCCATATCCGTGCGCAATGTCAAAAATTTACCCATTGGAAATTTGACGGTGAAACCAGATCCATCTGATACACTGTTGCATCGACAAATGGACCTGTACGATTATGAACAAATGCAACAATTGGAAAATTCCTATTATGGTACCACACAAGATATGAAGTATGCGAAGACGACAATGTTAAATGATCGCAGTTTGAGTGGTATTGGTGGTGGTAGCAGTTATGGTATTGGCGGTGCCGGTGGTTATCTTACATCGACACCATTACATGCTAGTAATAGTAACATTGGTATGGGCCTTGATTATTTGGGTAATCTTGATACAACGGCCGGCCATAATATTTACGATATGCATAATCAATATCAGCAGCAGCTACATCGCATGTATCAACAGCAACAGTTGCAACAGCAAATGGCCTCGGCGGCATATCCAATGCGTCGTTATGGTAGTCGGGCGGAAATTGATATTTTGGAACGTGAAACAAGTTCACAAATTAGGGTGAGTATATAAAGCGGTTGGGTATATTAAAAATTAAATGAAAATCTATAATTCAAAATTTTTTTATTTTTTTTTAATTTCTATATATGTTTTCATTTTATTTTAATTGTTTTACTATTTTATTTTACCTTTTTATTTTATAATTTTTCTTGTTTTATGTTTATGCAGAACTTAGATGTTTCTGCCGGCGATTTACTAAGTCGAACACATGAAGAATTGGTACTGCTACTCATACAGTTGAGACGTCAAAATAGCAATACAGCTCGTTCCATTGAACAATGTTGTTCTGACATACACGATGTTCAGGTTATTATATAAACATTTTATCCTATTATAACTGAAAGTTTTGGTAATGGGAATTAGAAACTCTAACGGTGTCGGTTTCATTCTTTACAAGAAGTTTTTTTTTAAATTTGAACCTAAATATTAATTATTGTACAACACTAATTAACAGAAATGTAGACGATTATTTTATGTTTTAATTTATATTTTTCAATTAATAATTTATTTTATTTTTTATATTTATATTGTTATTTTTTAATGGATTTCGGATATCCAAATATATTTTAGTTTTCCACAATAACAAGCAACACGCCTAAAATTTTATTAAAATTGTTTTTCAATGGGCAATTGTAAGGACAAATAGTTTAAATATAATTTTTTTTTAAAAAGAAAAACAAGCTGAAATTTAGAAAAATTCCTGTTTTTAATATAATTTTAATTTTTTGTATTATTTTTTTTTTACTTTTTTTATTTGTTAAACCTAAATCTTAATAATTTTGTAATATTGTTTATTTTTTTTACTTTTTTTATTTGTTTATCCTCAATATTTATATTGTTTGTCTTTTTATTTTATTTTGGACTTTGGGTTTCATAATGCATTTTCTATTTTCCACACAACAACAACACTAAACGCCTTTTTCTAAAATTTAAAAAAAAAATTCGAAAATACAGAACCGTTTGCTAACCGCTGAAGGATTAACTCGAGCCGAAAGCATACAACGACTGGACTATTTGAAACAGCATCTACTTGACTTGGAGAGACAATATGAAAAGAGTAAACCATTGGTTAACCTAGTCGATAATATGGTTAAATTGGGTTCCCTTTATCGTAACGATGCCTTGGGCAGAACTTCAACAACAGCAATAACACCACGTACTGATCCAGTGTCATTGGAGCGTTTGGAATTCAATCAAAGGATCCAAGAGAAACGTCTACTGCAAGAGGAACAACAACAATGGGATCGTTTGGAACCGGATAATAATGAATTGCAGGTAGTTTTGGAAATAAATTCCATGGTTTTAAAATTTTGATTCCTCTCTCTCTCTCTCTCTCATTCCTTCCAGTCCAAAGTTGCTCAACTCTATCATTTAGATCAATTACTGCAAGAAGAATCTGGCACTCTGCAGAGTTTACAACGTGACAAAGAAGATTTGGAGAGGGCTTTGGGTGGCATTAAGGCTCGCATTCAGGATACCCGTGAAACACCCATGGCCTTGGAAGCGGCCAAAAAGCAGCAGCATTTATTGGAACGTGAGCTATCTCGTGTCCACCAATTGTTGGCCGAGAACTCAAAGGTAGCTGAGGTGCCTAGTAGAAGTTTGTCGTCTATATTTTTTGTTTGTTTGTCTCAAAACTATAATACATATATACGAAATACTTACACATATATATTCGGGTCTCATAAAAGCGCTTTTATGAATGCCAAAATATCGATTAGATTTGAACTGGGCGCATGTGCCACAAAATGCTTTAAATTGAATGTTTCCTGCTGTCGCTTCTATTTTGTAACTAAAACAATTATATTAATATGTTGCACTAACAACAAAAACTACATTTCAGAATCATTTTAGAAAAAAATTTCTATCCTAAAAAGTACTTCCTTCTAAACCTTTCTTAAAACATTTCGATACTCTTTTTCCTTAACACCTTTAGGTATTGAGGTTCCCTCACTATAAAATGGAGGATGTTTTAAAATGTCGCATCGATCATGATTCTATTCCCTCCGTTATATTTAAATGGTATTCTAAATATTTTTATATTTTACAACATTTAGAATTATTACTCGCAGAACAGTTTATTTCGCAGACATCTAATATAAAAACCTTTTATTGACATTTTTATCCTCTGAATACCTCCTCCCAAATTATGTTCATTTCAGATTTTCACGATCCGATACAATAAAATTGCAAACGTGTGTTCCTGCACAATTGGCGATCGCTGGTTATTCAGAGTAGAGTTTTCCATTTTAGTTCCCCAACATTTAATAAAACAAATATATTTTGGCTGCCTGTATAAACCACCTAAATATTGGAATATCTATCAAAAGTTCTACGCAATGTGGCTTGTAGGCTTAGTCCAATAATTTGGAAGTTTGTTGGGAAAACTTCGATTTACTGCCCTTTGTATATCTCCGTCACATCTTGACTTTTGATTCGGACTTTTCATTCGGACAATATTGATATTCATTGCTGATACAACATGAATTCGATTTTATACCTTAGAAGAATTCTTCCCATTGAGAATCACAACTCCGAATAATTCCCTGAATAAATAAGATTAATTGCTGATTATTTTTTAAAAGATTTCGTTCTTTCCATATTTTCCCTCCTTGCACCCTCCAAGACATCATAGATCAGACAATTGAAAGCATTTTGTTTTAAACAAGACATAAAACAAAGCAAAAATCAAAATAGACGACATTCTAACTACTTTGCCCATACTAGTACATATCATCATAAAAAATCATGCTGACATCGAATATATCTATATATGTAGCATGTGCTTTTCTTGTATCCAAAACAACTTCGGGACATAAATTTCTAATTATTACATTTCCCCATTATTTTCTCTTCATTTTGTTAAACCCACACAGAAACTTGAAATGACCGTTGCCGGTAATACACGCCTTGAACAGGAACTTCTCATACTAAGGCAAAAACTAACCCGTGGCAGTCAAGTGAAAATATCCGATACCTATGCCAGCAATACAACAGCCATGTTGGAGTCCGAATTGAAACGTGTTCAGAATCTAGTCGGTGATATGCAACGACAACGTCAGGAATTGAGTCAGGCTGTTAAACAACTAACCGAAAATTCCACGAAACTCTATCAGGAAATCGGCAATAAAGATTATCTGAGAAATGCCGAACCGGGAAGCGGTAGCAGCAGTTCGGGTGGCAATGGTAGCAGCTCTGGCGGAGGTAGTATAAAGAAACGTACCAATTCAGGTTGCTGGTTCGAAACTGATTTGGATTCCATGACTAGCGTCAATCGCGGTCTTAGCGATTCAAGCATGAATCTGTCGACACCATTGTTTGTCGACACAAATAATTCCAGCGGTGGTCATTTATTGAATAGTTCCTCGACCTCGAGCAAATTGAGTGATTACAATACCGGTGATAGTATGCTAAATGATTCACATCGTCGCGGAGGCTCATCGAACGCCTCGTATCGTTACAATGATTCTAGTGATAATTTAGAAACTAGTGGTGTGGATAGTGATGGCTTCTTAGAATCGAATCCCTTTGCCAATTTGTCGCAACAGGAAAAACAAGAAATTAAAACTGTACGCATTGTTAAGCGCGAATCGGAACGTAGACATCGTGATCGTAGTGAACGTTCGGGTCTTAGTAATTCGACACAGAATCTCGATCAAGTCATGGAAGAAGAACAGTATGGCCTAATGAACGGTAGCCTGGCTGCGGCTGCTGGTGGTAATTATCACAATGAAGAATATAAAACAAACGAAAGATCCAAATCATTGCCACGTACATACAGCGAACCACCCAAATCATCCAGACATCATCATCGTCATAAGCATGGCAGTACCAATAGCCATCATAATACTGCATCTTCATCGTCATCCTCTGCCAATAATGCATCTTCTTCGGCTTCTGCGGCGGCCTATAATTCGACCTATAAGAATGACTATTATAGCGGTCATAATGGTCATGCCGCCGCCGCCGCTGCTGCTGGTTCTGGTTCTATATCCAATGGTTATGATAAGAATAGTAATTATTCGCATCAAAATCATGCTGCAGCATCAAGTAATGGTCATGGTTCAGCTTCAGCTCGCGAACATTTAAATCCTCTAGCTAATGCCTATTTTGCAAAACAAATGCAACAGGGGGGTCATTCTACTTCTACAACCAACACTATCGCCACATCTTCTTCCTCCTCTTCTTCTAATAACCATCATTATAGCACTTCTTCACACTCACGTCATTCATCTCAGAGTGCTTTGCGTCAGAAAACCGAATCACAGCAAAGCCTCAATAAAAGTCTTAGCGATTTAACGCCATCCTTCCAAAGTGAAGTGGCTAGACAAATAATGAATGAAATGTCTGCAGGCTCAGCATCCGAGGATACGGAGAAAATTGTTGAAAAGGTGCCATCACAGCATAAGCATCGACGTGCTGTGCCCAAGGAGAAGCGAAGACACTACACAGCACCGAATAATGTGGTAAATGTTAAGTCAGCCGAGAATGGTCATTCCGAGAATGATATGAATAAAAATGTAAGTTCATCGAGTCATCGGCAGATTTCGGTTTAGAATAACAAATATTTTATTTTGTTTTTAGAACACAAATTGGCGTGCCCGTGATGATTTGGACATGGAGGTGGCCTTGCGTCCTCGCATTAATGCTCCCGATGTTGTACGCTCAGCCCTGCGTCATGGTGAAAAAATATCGGAAAACACAATTGATAATTTACTATTGGCTCCCAATAAGATTGTTATACCAGAACGTTATATTCCTGAAACGGTAATTTGAAACACAACACAAAAATACTAAAATTTGAACAATTTGAACTAAATTATATCAAAATTTCTTACAATTAAAAAAAATGTGAAATTAGACGCCTGAATTATCACCCGAAGAGAAGAAACGTAGACAAGAAAAAGTGGAATCGATTAAGAAAATGTTATCGGAGGCACCAATTGCAGCAAATGTGAGTATAAGTTGTGATCATTTTAAAAAGTATTTTTATATATAATTTATATAAACTAATGGGATTTAATGTTCGAAAATATTTCTTATTTTTAAAAAGTTTCTTAAATTGCCTTGAAAAACTACGTACAAGGTTAATTGCATTAAAATTAATTAGCTACCAAAGAATTATTTTAAATAGTTAAATTTTTAACAGATTCAGAACAAAGTTATTAATTCTGTTACCGAAAATTTTACTAAACTCGATCATGAAATTGACTCTAAAGTTTATCTGAGAAATGCCGAACCGAAAAGCGGTAGGTAATATATAAAAGCGTACCAATTCAGGTTACTGATTCGAATTTCGATATGGATTTCATGGCAAGTGTTAATCGTAGTCTTAGTGATTCAAGCATTAATCTTGTAAATATTTCCTGTCATTTGTCTGAGTTTTTTCTATAATGCCATAGTTTATATGTATTAGGCATAGGGTTGCCAGATTCCCGGTCTCAAATAGCTGGACATTGGGCTTTAATTTTCTTTTTTTATTCCCTAGGATAAGGTTTGACATTCTTTCGTAAAATTGTAAATCTAAAATAGGTACAACTTATATATGTAGTAAACTTTTATAAAAAAAATGCATTTAACCCTTTGAGCCCCGAATTTTTTTCCGTAATCATAGAATAATTTTCTGTTCACAGATTTAATGCAACTATCCTAGATAGGATATGGACAAATTTTGACATTGCTACATCCTTGCATTCGGGAGATACAATACATGTTTTCTAAAAAATAAAAGCCTAATATCAAGAAAACCAAATGCAAAATCGACGAAAAAATCATTTTAAATTATTCTCTATATTCTGTTTTACAAGAATCAAAAATAATTCTGACGGCAGAGTTCGTATATTTCAAATACGAAGTGATTTAAATAATTTGGACTGTATACACAAATTAGTACTGTACACATTTTTGCCCTCTTCTCCATATTAAAAAGCTCATAACTTTACCAAAAATTTGAATTTTTTAGATTTTTCTTGGGATATATGTCGTCCATAATCAGGTCTTGACGTATGCAATCCAAAGAATATATATCTACTAGCAGTATATTAAATATTAGCTCTAAAACATTTTGTTGCCTGTGGGCAACATTGGGCCACAAAGGGTTAATTATGCCAAGGGTGGCATAATGTAATGTAAGGGTATCCCATTACGATTGTGTCAATCTCTTCCTTAAATAACTTCAATTTATTGTAAAAAAAGCTAAAATATTTTCTTCAATTTCAGGATACGGCAGCTAGTCTACCACCAAGTAAAATAAACGAAGAAAAGAAGCAACGCGAACATCTGCTGCAAATGAATCAAATTTTGGCCCAACAAGTGATGCAAATGAGTAAAATAGTGGCTGGTAAGTAGTAAATAAGATTACATCTGCAATTTGCATGATTATTTACAGCCAAGAAAATATTATCAAAAAAAGCAATGCAAAAATATGCGAAAAAAACACAAAAGCACTTTACAATCAACAACAAAAAATTCAAGTTTCATTCAATTTATGTTTAAATTTATGTTTCAATTTACATTTTACTTATATTTATTATTAACAAATATCCAAAAAGAGAATAACTACAAATTTATGTTTTGTTTGTGTTTTAAAATTACCACTTTCTAATTAAGATTACAAAAACATATAACAGCGAAGACCCAATGTGTTTCTTTTTTTATAAACAAAAATTATATATACATATATCAATGTTTTGTTTTTGTTATATATTACCTCTAAGAATTATTGTTATTGTTTTCTAAACTAATTGTTAATTCAACTATGTTTTTTATTTATATATTTTAATTGGTGTTTTTTTTTTAATCCATTTTTTTATTATACCTCATTCTGTTGACATTTCTGCTCATCATCAATTATTTGTTAAGGATTGTCTTACTACCTTCCAATTAATATTATTATTACTACTACTACCAACTGTCATTTAAATTATTTATGTATGTGTATTTTATTGCTATCTTTCTAACCTCAACTAAAAGACAATTAAAATATTTATTTTCTTTTCGTATCTAATTTTCTAGATGATTAACTTTTTTAAGAACAAAAAGAATTAACAAAAGAAAAATGCAAAAAAAGAAATGTTAACACTTAAGAAAACAAAAGAAAAGAAAGAAAAACAATGTGTCTTACGTCTTAAAGAAACCACAGAAAAAAAATTATAATGATAATACAAAATCATCATTTGAGAATCATTTTAATTCAAAGCAAATAATGGTCACGTACAAAAACAGAAAAAAATCTCACTATAAATCATCACCATGTCTCATCATCATTTTGAAATCGCCTGATCATCATCAATGTTGAATTAAAACCGCAAAAAAATGCATAGACGATAAATCGTTATGATCATCATCACCACCACCACCTGCATTAGCATTAAAACCAACCCCCCTGCACCGTAATGTTGAAAACAATGTTGTTCATGTGTAACTACATCATTTCTATGCACATCTCCTACATACTATCATCATCACAGAATTGAATCAATCGATCAAGTAATGAACCATCATCATAAGTATTTTAAAAAATATCTATACATATTTTATTTTTTATTTATATTTGTTGTGTTTTTTTATATAATTAGACGTTCTGTAATTACAATTATTGTCATTCGTATGTAAAAACAAGAAAGAAAACATTGTCGTCAAAAAATATATATAAATATTTTTTTATTTTAATTAAAAAAAAACAATATTTATATTTGTATTCCTTAATAAAAAATCTAACATTTTTAAGTAACGAAAATTGTTTTCTTTTGGTCAAAAAAAATCTGTCATTGTGTCATATTATCTGTAGTGTTACAAACATTTTGTTTTATTAGTTTATTATGTTGTAGTATTTAGGGTTTAATTTTTATATAGTTTTATAATTTTATTTTATATGTTTAAATAAAAATGTATTTTTCCACATAATAAATTATTTTAATGGAAACTATGTTCTACTCGAAATTTAAAATTAGTTTGAAATGTTGTTTGAGTCCTAGTCACGTTAGTGGAAGTCATGCCGAATGAATTTAAATCAATCCAATTCCAAAATTATTACAAAAGTGATGTAATAGAGCCAAATTCCGTATCAAATGTTTACCTCATCATAGACTCTGAAAGAAAGAAAAAATGTGAAATATTGTTTAGAATATAAGTCACCTTCCCAACCTAAAAGTCTCAATATATATTTTGGCACATCATTTAGGTTCAAAATTATATGATGGAAGCAATTTCTAAATTTGAGTGGATAACACCAACTTTTGTAGGATTCAAACTTTATCCTCCTTTCCGAAGGTATAATCAGTCTTTTTTATAAAAAAATAGAAATATAATAGAAAAATAGAATTTCTGGTTTTTTAAAATTACCTAATCGGATACAAGGCTTCGAAGACTGGAAAAAGTTTGAATAATCTTTTTACGAATATGTATTTTCCGCTTAATAGAAGCAAACATTTTTTTAATTTTTATACTACATATAAAACAGGATTTCGTCAAGTTCGATAATTGACATTGTAATTATTTATGTGGAAAAGTTCATTTTTTGTATAACTTTAATTAATTTTAGTTTTATTATTTATGTCATTCAGAAAGTGCTTGTGTTTTTTTATTTTATTTAATTTTTGTTTTGTTTTTATTTTCCAAACATATTTTTTATTTTATTTTGTTTTTTCTTTTTGCATTTTTCTAGGCAATCCCCATAGTCAAAATAACCCCAAATAATTTGCCGTGTTACCACCTGCCCCTTCATTGAGTTGTTAGTTATACCAAAAAAAGCAAAAACAACAACAAAAATTGTACACATGAAAATATGTTGATATACGTTATAAGTTTGTTTCTGTTTCATTGTTTATACATTACGTTTAATATCGTTTTACGAAAGCCTCTTTAAGTCATAATTGCGAAAAAACAGAAGTCTTGGCCCATGATTTCTTCAAAAAATCACCAGAGTTCATATTTGCAATGAAAAAAATATGAATAACATACACACATATAGAAACACATTAACATTGAGTTTGAGTTTTGCCATGCATTAACTAACAGCATTTGCATTTTTTACAAACAAAACAACAACTGCTATTACTACTAAACTACAACCCTGAACAAATGCAATCTACTACAATTCTTAATCTCTATACTGAATCTGAAAACTAACTCATTTTCCTCCTACTTCTTGAAATTGAACCAAATTTGCCTCTTTTTCCAAAATCAACTACAACAACAACATTTGAAAATCGAACATCAACCTCAACAACAACATCAGCTAAAAACAACAAAAGCCATTCAAATTCTTCTTCTCCTACAACATGATGAATTGACACGCCATAAAAACCGCATGATCACCACTAAAACAATGAAAAAACGAATAATGTAAAAAAGAAAAAAATCTACAAAGCCATCTTAAGACTAGAAATAAAAATAAACATTACATGGACAACAACAAAAACAACTATTGAACAAAGACTATGACCAACTGAACTGCTAACTGAAACCCTATGCAAAAACGTTGAAATTCTATCAATCACAACTATCCAAATTCGCTTTAAACAAACAAACTAAAACAAAACAAAAATTGTACAATCAGTCAGCCAACAACAAAAAAAAAACAACAACAACTTCTACAGAATAACAACAACAATATACTCTACTACTCCCTACATCAAGCCTTAACTCTGAATGCTAATTTTGAAACAAAACAGCTCGCAAAACAATCAAGGTTTGTATAAAAGAAAAACAAAAATATTAAAATATTATCTCAAAACCCCCTTAATAGCTATATAACAACTCCTCTAAACCCTCTACTATTTGATTAACTGAAATTTGTATGATTTTTTTGTATTTTGCTGTAAAGAAAACAAATATTATAAAAATTGTTTATGTCTTTGTAAAGTTTGTGTGTGGTACTAGTTTTAAATGTTAAAATTGTTATTATAAATTTATATTTTCTTTTTGTAAATTGTTAAAGAAAATTTGCCAAGTTTCTAAAAATGCTGCTTATTTTTTACGAATTGCTTTAAAGTCCGCTAGAAAAAAAAATAAATATTTTAAGAAAATTCATTTAATCATTTAACATTAAACATAAAACTATACCACACAGCACCATCCACTACTCAAATCTCCCTCCTCTCACTAACACCGCTCATCATAATATCACTCACTTTTAATGTAGCTCTTCACAATTTGCTTTCAGCAAAACTTTTCGAACACCTGAATGTATGTATTTTTTGAGCTAATCCACACCACTATTGTAGTTATTTTAAGGATGAATGTTTAGAGAAAAATATTTGGCTGGATTTTAGGGAGGGAATATTATAAAGTTTTTTTTTTATTTTAAAAAATTTTAGCATTCCTTATTGCTTCGACTTTTATCTCCAAAGTAATAAGAATGAATATTTTCAGTTGGTGGCGCCTAAAAGTATACCAATTTAATGGTACGCCAATTAACATTGATATTGCCATTTAAAAATAAATGGTGATAATTTTGATAGATTTTGGGCAATTTGAACACGTAACATTATTGGTCCACATTCAGTCGGTGGGCCTAATATTCTATTTTATTTGTAATCATTAACAAGTCTTCTGCTCCTGTTATATACAATTCTTTGAGTTCTCCTTTCACAGCCATATAAGAAATTATTAGAATTGTTAGCACCCAATAGTATACTCCAATCTTTTATACCCTATAATACTGGAAAATAAATTTGTGATACCTTATGGAAATATTCGTCGATGGCCACAGCACGACGTCCATCTGTTTAAAGTTCGATAAAGTTCACAATATTTAGAATAGAGCTATGAAATTTACAAATTATATATCACCACTGGGATATCGGATTGGATATATCGATTCACTTATGAGGTTTATCCGCATTTCCTAACCTCTATTCAACATTCTAGATTCTTGGAGGTTAATAAATAGCTATGCAGAAAATCTCCCTTTCGCATTTTCCAACGGAATGGACTGTATTTGAATTTCGAATTATTGTAGAAAATTTATATTTTCACATAGCTCCCATATAAAGGTTCAGTCCCATTTTAAGTATTTTATGATTATTGACATAAAAAAGCCTTCTACAAGAAATTGAAGATATTTTTATGACTAATTAAGTTTTTCTTCGCAAAAATGTTTTAATATTGAACCATTGTTTGAGCTATCCCCCATGTAAAAGTCTCGTCGCTTTTCCGAACTTTCGTGGTTCTGAATGAGTTTTTCAACATTAATTTTGTATTTCAAAGTATGAAAACCCCTACTGGCAGCGAATCCCGACTTTTTTTGAAATCTTCGAAATATTCCCATGGTCCTTCCCATAAATTCCAGCCAAATTTTAGTTAGCACAATTGTTTCTATTGTCAATAGGATTTAAGCACATTGTAGTCTTAAAACAGCACAACAACGATGCAGACAATACAAAATCCAATTAAACAATGATATTTGAATTAGATTAAAGATCTTTAAAGTATGGGTATTCATTATAGAAATTCGCGAATTTTAATATATAACTAGGGCTTTTAATAAAATTAGTTAAAGAAATTCAAAATGCTCACAAGGTTCAATGAGAAGTGTTTGGCAAATTAATAAACAGATTAGGCTGTTATGTATTTGATCTGATTTAGAAGCATATACTTTTTCAATATTTTTCTTTATACATTCGAAAAATGAACTAGGTTTTTGTATACGGGAACATACACGAGATTTCACTAATTCTGACCACGTTGTGCCACCCTCCAGATTAGTTTTAGAAAATCCTATTTTTTTAAACCAATATTAGTAAACTTATCTAAAACCTGTGTATTTCAGTAACAACTTTCTCCAATTATTTTGAATAAAATTTTACAAAAACAGACTGTAAGTAATGAGGTATTTAAATTTCATAGGTAAAAGTAAAAAAATAATTTCAATTTTCAGTATTTTTGAAAATAGGGAACCGTATTAATTGTGATATAGATATTGAAAATTTCATAGGAGCACAGTATCTCTCAGTATAAATATGAATTAGGGATATATAATGCAATTTAAAAAAATAGAATAAATCTAGTAATAGGTATTGAAAAACTAACCTAATATATAATATGCACTCTGAACTATTGGGTACAGCTAGCCTGGATAGAAAGCAACACTTAATTTTTAACTAACACTACCAAACAGTCACCAAACACAAAACCCCTTAATAAAAACCGGAGGTGTAAGTACACATTAATAACTTGATGTAATTTTTTTTTATTTATATATTTTTTGAAAGAAAAAAAACTAAAACTAATTGAACTAAACCCAAAACGACACGGTATAATGGATTTTTGGAATTAACCCCTCTCTTCTAAACTACCACAGCAAAAAAATCACCCAAAATTATCTATAAACTATATCAAAATTTTACTAATTATTTTCTTTATTTAAATTTTTTTTATTGCACTATAGAAAAAGCGATGTCTAAAACTGGCAATGGCGAAATGGATGGCGAAGGCAATAGTCACGATTCTATATCACAACGTGGCAATTCAGATGATGATAATGATGATGGTCGAAAATCGGAATCGCCAAGCGAACCACTGCCTATATATCAGAAATGAGATAATTTCTATTCATAAACTACAGAAGGACTCACTAAAAACAAAAATAGCTCTTATGGTCACTTACACACATACATACATGAATGAGTATTAAATACGCAACAATTTTTAAATATAAACAACAAGAACAACAAATTATTTATTTTAACAAACTCTGAACAAAACTACAAAATTGTAAACAATTAATGCATTTATCTTAAGTAATGAAATATCACAAAACAAATGAAACCAACTACAACTACAAAAACTGCTACAAATATAAACCAAAACAAAAAAAATTACTTGAAAGAAAAATCATAATAGTTATTATATACTTCTACAAAAATATATTATATATAAAATAATATTTTATTTTCAAAAATAGATTTCTTTATCCAAGACTTAAACTGCAACTTAAAATATATGCCGTATTTATTATATATGTATCTTTTTTGTATTGAAATTACATTGTTTAAATTGAACATTTAAAATACGTTATGGAAATTCTTTAAATTGTATAAAATTAATAAGGAAAAATTCCGATGAAAAATGTTATGATATACAATTTTGCTAACTAAATATGTAACACTTAATAGTGATGTTTTCAAAATGTAATTCCAATATAATTGACTACAATTCAAAATAACCTAATAACGCGCCAGTGGATACAGTGTCAGTATATAGACATGGGGAATCTCGTTCCTTAAGCGGTTCGAAACTAGGCCATTTATTTTGTTCCATAGTTCATTTTAATTCAAACGTTCATTGACAAACGTGAGTTTATTCGATCAATGAACCGGAAGATCTAAAAGAATCTCTATCAAAAATGAACGACTGATTCAAAAGGAGCTAGATTAAAGAATAAACAGAACCTAGTACCGATCGCTCCTTTTACAAAATAGATTAGAGAATGAACAGATTAGAGAATGAACATCGTTCCTTTTGCAGAATAGTTCTTTTAAATTTGAATGAAATCCTTTTGCGGAATAGTTTGTTCCGGCATTTTCAAGGAATAAATTCCGTCCAATTTGTCGATACTCAGAGGATTTCGTAGAGAACTATTTGAATAGGCGTTTTGTTAAAAACAATTAGATTTGACCTGAGAGATGGGCTTTAATAAGGCGGTATCTTGACCATTTTCAGTATTTTAGAGTTTTAGCAACATTTTTCAAACTAAAGTACTGAAATTTGGCATTCCATGCACTTGGATTGTAAAAAACTTCGATATAGGTTCCCATAGCGCCTATTTAAAGTCCGTGCATTTTAGGAATTTTGATGCGCCCATTTTTCAACCAAGATTACGGGTAGGAGAAAACACGTCAATATACGTCCTTTCAAATGAACCCTATAAAACTCTCGCTCCTTTTAGCCTCATTTCATTTCCTTGTTTTGACAAAGCGCGTTTTGACTTTGTCCCGCCCTATTTTAGATATTTTGATGATAAATTTGCTTTGGTCGAAGTAGTAATTAGGCATTTCAGGTTCATGTTCGATAAATTAACTTATTTTGAGATTATTTTTCAATATGTATAGGTCAATGAAGTTTTTAAAATATTCCCTAGGTCTCCCATATATTCTCAACATATTTTAGTTAGATCAATTGTTGTCAATAGGAATTTAAACATAATCAAATCATAAAACAACACAAAAATGATGCAGACAATACAAATTCAAATCAAACAATGAGGCCTAAATCGGATTAAATTAATGGAAAGGAAAGTCATTATGTTCTTGACATAGTCCTATATAATGGTCCCGCACAATTTTAGATGTTTTCATTTCCTAATGATATGGATGTAATTGGACATAGCCCCACATAAAGAATCCTCAGCTGCATTACTGAGGAACCTTTTTATAGGGATATGTAACATTTTTGTATAAGTTGTGCAGTATTATGATAGTCACATCATTCAGCAATAAAAAAGAATAACATCGGGTTGAAATTCTCATTGTAATAGAATTAAAAAAGAGACCTGTTAACTACGCTAGATAAAGCACATATATCTTTTAGGATAGTGGCCCATTCTTCAACTAACTACCTTTCTAACTTTTTGACTTCTGAATTATTTTGTTCAAATTCACAGATAAAATTAATTCAATGCAAAAGAGTATCGTCTTAATATAAAATATTCAAAGTATGATACAACATATAATACATGTTGGCTTGTTGTGATGAATTGAAAACCTAAACAACCTAAAATATGGCTCTGTGGCGATTTTATATTATCGAATTACATTTTCATATTTAGTTAGCTATCTATAGATTAACGTATTTTCTAATAATTTTTATTATAATAGAAAGAATTTCCAAACGTTTTTCCATTACCGCAAATACATAGTTCTTTCCAAACATTATTGTGACTTCCTCAAACTTAAGAAACAAACAAAAAACAAACATGCATACTTATTTCAACACAAAATTACAATCAATGAAAACTAGAAAAACAAAAAACAACCAAACACATGTAAAATGAAGCTTAATTGACTGATAACATTATTTTAAATGAAAAAAATAACGATGAAGTAGAAGAAAATATATATAAACACTAAAAATAGAAAAAGACTACTAAATTTACTATTAATTTCTCTTCAACAAAGTCGAAAACAATTTTTCTTAAAAGAAAATTGTTATTTCCAAAAAAGACTAAAAATTAACAAAAAACATAAAAACGAACAGTAAAATTACAAGAACTGTATTTAAATGAATTGCACACAAAAGAAAAGAAAAAAACTACAACAAACTTCAAATATCATATGTATAACTTATTAAAAGAAAAATAAAAAAGAAAAATGCATATGAAAGAAACATTTTCAAAAAAAAAAACATAAAACAAAATTCAACATATCATTATATTCATAAAAAATTCATTAGGAAATAGGTAACAAAAAAACATCAAGAAAATTAAATTAAAATATTTATTAAACAAAAAATTCTTAAAGAATACCAAATTAAAAAAAGCAAAAACTATAACTAAAAGAAATTACTACATACATATATGAATATTTAAATATATGCAATTTGAAAATATAAAAACACAGCATACATTTATCATATACATATATACATGAACATTACTGAAAGAAAATAATGTAATTGTTGTTGATTCTTTTTTTGAAATCGAAAAAAAGAGAAGAAAAACGTTAGACAAACACAAACGATTTGAAACGAACGACTAAACAATCCTATTTGAAATTACAAAAAAATCTTAAATATAAAAATGAAACATTTTTAGATACAAACATATATATTGGAAAGGTAATTAAATAAAAAAAATGTTTAGTAGTTATTAGGCAAACAAAATTAAAACGAAATTAGAGTTTTAAATTATTTATGTTTTTCAAAATTATTTAACTAACATTTTATTTTATTAAAGTGAGATCAAAATTTTTATTAAAAATTATTTACCATTCCCTCAAAATTTGATAGAAACATATTTATAAAAATATTTTTATAGATATTGTAAAGTGTGTTTTAATAATAAAGACTTGTTATTTCACCGATCTGCCGACAGCGTACGTCGCTTTATTTTATCAGGGTGTAAACCACCATCTGATGTAGACTCAAATTGTTGCACTCAACTTGTCATTCATTGTCTGTCTTTGGCGAGAAATACAATCAAAAATTGTAGTTAGGGCTCTTCGGTCAGCGATTGCCCATTTTAAGATGGATTAGAACATGTCTTTTCTCTTCATGATGGGAATTTTTTTGGTGTAGCCACTTTTTGCTGTTCGATTTCCATTTTTAAAGTGTATATTCCTTTTTTATCTATCACACTTGCTCCAACCGATTCCATTTAATGTTAGGCAAATCATGGATTTTGACAAAATATGAAAATCCACTTCAATTCATATTATTCAGTCATTTTCATTATTCATTCAGCACTCTTCAAAGGGGACACAAATATTGTTTTTTATTTAAATAATTTAACACTACCGTAAAAGCATTTTTAATAATTTAAATTTATTTTTTAAAAAATTAAAACAAATAAATATACACAAATATAAATATATTTATTAATATTTATCTTATGAACTCCTATGAAGATTTTTTAAAACAATTACTAAAAAAATATAAAATAACTAAATTCACTATAAGGGGCAATATACATATATGTATGTATTTTATACATGTTAACATGTATAAATCAAAAAAAATATATATATTAAAACTTAAAAAGTGAATAATTAAGAATAGCACACAGTTCAAAGAACTGATATAATAATAAAAAACAACAACAATGTAACTGTATTTTTACATAAACTATATTCTCTATAGGATATTTAAAAATACAGTTCATAAAAAATTAAAAAAAATACACAGCAATTTCCATGTACCTATTCAAATATAAAAAAGTACTCTCAAAAAATCATGACAAAACAAAATATATAAACCTCAAAATAATAAATAATCAAGTATTTCAAATTCAAATATCCCTAACAAGAAACAAAATGAACCATATTAACTATATAATAATACTATATATATTTTATAAGTCAATTATTCCCCTATTTCCAATGGACAACCATTTAAGTCACATAACATCCCATACCCATACAAACTAATAATAATATTCAGTCAGTTATGCCCATTATAAAATTTCAACATCAAATACAAAATGAAAAAATAACAATAAAAAATACTAAAATAAATATTAGGAGATCTGTAGAATACAACTCCAATAAAAATGAATTTAAAAAAATAAGAAAATGAAATGAAAGAATAACAACGATTAAATAAAATATTATTTTTTTAGTTTTACAAAAAAATCCTTGAATATGTACAAAACCATATACATATATATATTTATAGTTTTAACAAATATTATTACATACATAAATATTTATATTGGTAATTAATTAGTTTAATTTAATTTTCATATATACACAGTGATCCAGGCAATATAGATTTCACAAAAAAATAAAGGTTAAAACCATAAGAGATCTACTTTGGAACACATTGTATATATGTGAAACAAATATATATGTTTTATATAGCATTAAATATTGTTGAAAATGATAATATAATTCTTTTCTTTGAACA